TTGTAATTTTTTTAAACTTTGAATCCACCGATTTCAATCCGAATATTTCTGATTTTGAAACGAATTTTTCATTTTGTATTCCGATTTTTCCGGTTTTTTTTTTTTTTTTTTTGTGTGGATCAGAATTGGAATAAATATTAGAAATGATTTTAATTTCCAAAATTATTTCCGAAAACTTTGATTATTTTCTGCATAATTACATTTTTAATATCAATATTACTATTTATTTTGTATTATAAGTGACTCAATTTTTGGAATCTCCAAATTCCGTCGATTCCGATCAGAAAAATCCCGATTTTTGAACAAATTTTTTATTCCAATTTCTGAAATTCGGATTTCCGATTTTCCGAATTTTTTCAGAACATAATTGGAATTACTTTTCGACTTCCGAAAAGAAAAATTCCGAAAGTGCTAACTTCGATCCAATCTCCACCTCTAGTCGTTTATATCGACCCTATAATAACTGAATAGTGTTTTCACACTATCGCATGACAGGTTTGCTGCATGCATATGGAAGAGTACTATGGCTAGACTGTTCTCCAGCAGGTAAAGAAGGGGCATTTTCGGTATGGTTTTCGTGGGCCCGAGCGCTCGGAGCTTGTTCAGGTTTCGCAGTGGCAACATCAATACCTGGAAATATCGGAAAAGCGTTTGGAGTTTCGTTTTGGGCTGGAATTATCGGAATAATTATTCTAATATTCGGAAATATCAGCAGCTTCAAAGGGGCGAAAGAAGCTGGAAACGTAATCGGGAGCGAAAAGGGTTCGCCCGTTTATGGATCTTCGTTGGACGATGAAAATGGTCATCTTGCTAAAGGAGCAGTTACAACATATGTTCTGCCTCAACCAAAGAGTGAAGAAGTTTGAAGTTAAGTAGTGTGTGTTTTCCTATTTTATTTTTTTACTTTGTTTTTTCTCCATAAGTGGGGAAATGTACATTTTCTTTTATTGTTTTTTTTTTTTTTTTTGGGAAATAAATTTTAAAGAAATTAAATCAATTTGTCACGTTATGCATGCTTGTTCAGACACGCTTGGCTCTTTTTTCTTGAGAAAATCCGACCATCTTGAGACCATTTCCACAAGAGTGATTTCAAGGCTATAATGGGCCTAAACTTTTATTTATTGGGCTATTGTATATTTTTTTATAAACAAGGCATTTGTTTTAGGCTTTTAGATTTCGGTTCATGTAGATGGTAATTAGTGGGTCTGGGTATAAGAAGTTATATGCTACACCGAGTTATTTTACACTGTGTGATTATGTCAGATTTACGGTTAATAATCTAATAAAAATTCAGTTATTTTATTGGACTCCAAGTTGTCCAACAAAAAAACTTCCTAAAAGACAAGATAAGTCATGATAATATAGTATTTGCATATCGATCCGATCAATTATTTGGAATACTAAATATTAAACAAAGTCCAATTATTAAGTATAACTTAGTTATACTTGATATACAATATTACAAATTGAGATAACAAATATAACATCTATTTGGTAATATCAATACCAACAAAATTGTAATTGAGTGATATCATTCCTATTATTGTGCTGAAATGTTTTTAGTTCGATCTCGAACCATATAAGTGTACTATGATAAACCTTTAGTAATCGTGTAATATTTTTGCAAACAAATCATCTGTTAAATTATCTCAATATATCTAATCAATTATTTCCATGTTACGCAACTTTTTACCTTCACATTACGCAAATTCGTTCATGAACAAGTCACAACTCATAAGAAGCCTAACCCTTGTTCTTTACAAAGAGACATTAGAATGGCGCTTATATTACAACTACAACTGAACTTTCAGCTAATGCTTCTATCTTCGACGGAGAGTAAACGACTACGATACAGAAAATATTGACAAGTGGAATGCATTGAACAAGCTTAACACAACAAATTTGTTTGATTAATACGCAATTAATAATAAAAAAAAAATCATTGATTGGTTTTATATTCTTAAAATATAGAAGAAAAGAAAAAATATTTATTTTCATTACACGATCAATAAATATATATACTTAAACCAATTAAATTGAAAGTAAACTTTTATCCTCCCCATTCTAAAAAGAAATTACTATTAGTCTATTATTAGAAACTAGGGGACAAAAATAAAAGCGACACGTGGCTCCTAACCTATGAAAACTCACAAGCCAAAAAGAAAGGAAAAGGCCGTACTCCCCAAACCTAACCTAACCTTCAGTCTAATCAAATCTTTCATCACAGCCATGTAACTTTATCACTTCCCTTCAATATCTGTGATTTCAAGACTTCAATTTTTTCCCCCTAATCAAACAAATTGGTGTGGGCCTGTGCTAATAATAACCCATGAATCAGATAATTAAGTACTATTTTGTTCATATTCCCCATAAATCCTAGCCATATATAACAAGCGGTTACTGTTCTAGAGAGAGAAACACACACATGTAAGAATATCGATGCGAAACATAGTATGCGTGTGTGCGTAAATGAGAGAGAGAGAGAAAAGTACAAAGTGGGAATGTGGGGAGCGGTGAACCGATAGCTAAAGAAAAAGACAGTGACAAGTAAAGGAGGCTTCGCTTCTTTTCTTCCCCCATAAAAACCCTAGTTTTTTCTTTTTCGTTTGTTGTTTTTTAAATTTTGGGGTTAGTGATAATCGTGCCCCAGATCTAGGAACAGTGTTTTTTATTTTTCCGGTCTTGATTTTTTTTTTGTGGGTTTTTGCTGCGAAGAGAAATTGAGAGGTGGGCTTTTCTGATTGGGCGCCAGAATTTCCGGGTTTTGACTTTTGGGAAGATTTTTTTTGGCAAGAAAGTTGCAGTCTTGGATTCTGTGGTTTGATTTTTTTTTTCTTGAATTTATTGATTAGCATTTAGGGGAGTGGTGATTTTGTTGGTAAATTGTTTGTTGAGGAAATGCTTCTATCACATAGCGTTTGTTTCGATTATATAAGGGTTTCGTTTTCCTGTTTTCGAATTTGCTTTTTGTAGTTGATGTTGTTGAGCTGTTAGAGAACATATATTTTGATTGTCGGAGAAATATCACTGCATCTATTGGAAGTTGCTAAAATCGCGGGGGGTTGCTAGTTTTTATTTTTCGATTTTCTATATTTAATTTGATTGGGTTACTATTAGCGGTTTGCACTGGAGTGGTTGGGCGTACCCGGAAGTGTTACTATGTCGTCTTTGAGTCGAGAACTCGTTTTCCTAATACTGCAGTTCTTGGACGAGGAAAAGTTCAAGGAGACTGTGCATAAGTAAGCGCCTTTCTTTTGTTGGTTCATGCCCTAGTTTTACATTGCTCTGTATACACATTTGTTTTCGTCTTGTGTGGGAGTTAAAATAAGTTCCTTTAATAAAAGAATCTTCGGAATAAGTCTGCTTTTGTCGGTTAGATATGGATTATAGCTTATCGTTTTCGTATGACGGATAAATAGATAATCCGATTCCTTTCGGACCATTGGATTGTTCTTCCAAATCGGATAAGTACAACTAATTACTTAATTACAAACGGAGTAATGAAAGCAACTGTAGTGTAGGAGTTTATTATGCTCATGGTTTGTCGAGGAAATACAGGTGGCTTTTGTTTCGATTGTTTAATGTTGCAATTTTATACGTCTAGGTTGGAGCAAGAATCTGGCTTCTTCTTCAATATGAAGTACTTTGAGGAAACAGTTCAAGCAGGTGAATGGGATGAAGTTGAACGCTATTTAAGTGGGTTCACAAAGGTCGAGGATAATCGATATTCAATGAAAATATTCTTCGAAATTAGAAAGCAGAAATATCTCGAAGCACTCGATAAGTACGGTTCCTTTTACATTAACCCGCATAATATTTTTTTTTTCTAATATACATGCACGTCTATTGATAATCGGTGTTTGCAAACTGTTTCCATTTTTTCAGACAGGATCGAGCAAGAGCAGTTGAGATCCTTGTAAAGGATCTCAAGGTGTTTGCCTCTTTTAACGAGGATCTTTTCAAAGAGATCACCCAACTATTGACTCTCGACAATTTTCGGTAAAAATTAAGATTTTAGCCGTATCGTTTGCGATTCTCAACCTCGTTACGGAATCGTTTTTGTAGTTACTTGTTTATTTATATTTATAGGCAGAATGAGCAGCTCTCGAAATATGGGGACACAAAGTCAGCACGAAACATTATGCTAGTCGAACTTAAAAAGCTAATCGAGGCAAACCCATTGTTTCGTGACAAGCTCACACTCCCTGGTTTCAAGGCTTCAAGATTGAGAACACTCATTAACCAAAGGTGTCGCCTTTGTTTCACAATTTGTCCTACCCTTTTTCAGAATCGTGATAATACTCAATGTTGTATCTAATATTAGCATGCCCAAAATCCCGTTTTCTGTGATTTTTTCAGTCTTAACTGGCAGCATCAGCTTTGCAAGAACCCACGGCCAAATCCAGATATCAAAACACTCTTTATCGATCACACATGTGCTTCGAGTAACGGCGGTCGTGTGCCGCCTCCCAATAACGCCCCACTTACCGGACCAATTCCTAAGCCTGGTGTTTTTCCCCCTCTAGGAGGTCACGGTGTAAGTAAAAATAGTTGCCGTTTTCTTGCATAAATTAAAATTAACCTCCTTTTCGGAATCTCACTTTTATAAAATTCCGTTTTTGAAGCCTTTTCAGCCAGTTGTATCCCCCCCTCCAAGTGCAATTGCAGGTTGGATGTCAAGTCCTAACCCATCGATTCCTCATGCAGCTATCGCTGCAGCTCCGTCTGGTCTTCTTCAGGCACCTAACCCTGGTTAGTTTTTTTTTTTTTTTTTTTTTTTTTTTTTTTTTTTTTGGAACTTATATATATATATATATATATATATATATATATATATATATATATATATATATATATATATATATATATATATATATATATATAGGTGTTAAATTCCTACCATTTTCTTAACTCGACTCGATCTTTGTTTAAAAAAAAATATTGAATGATTTTACGAAATTATGTTGTCCTCTGTTATTCTCAGCTGCATTTTTGAAACATCCAAGAAATCCGCCTGGTGGTCCTGGAATGGAATATCAGAGTGCCGATTCGGAGCATTTGATGAAACGTCTTCGAGCAGGACAAAACGATGAGGTGTTGACAACAAATATAAGCGATGCTCTATTAATTCTATTAATATTTTTTTTTTCTGTCTTATTTCTTCTATGGCATGTCTGAAAGTTATGCTGGTCAATGTTGTTGACACACTGTTGGTCTTTATTAGGCCTCGTTTTCCGGTTCTATCCATCCGCCTAATATGTATTCACCGGACGATCTTCCCAAAACAGTTGTACGGAGTCTTAGTCAAGGATCGAACGTTATGAGCATGGACTTTCATCCACAACAACAGACAATTCTTCTAGGTTTGATTTCTTTTAATTTTTTCTCTTTAATTTGAATTCGTATAGTAGCTCAATTTTGCCGATTTATATTCATTGTAGTTGGAACAAACGTGGGTGATATTAGCATATGGGAAGTTGGTTCTCGAGAAAGGTTAGCCCTTAAAACGTTTAAGGTTTGGGACATATCAGCTTGTTCGATGCCGTTCCAAGTGAGTATTGTTCGATGTTTTATCGTGCTAGATTCTTTTATTATGGAATTTTTTTTATTATTTTTTTTTGTTTGTTACTTTCGAGATTAACTTGTGCCACTTGACTATTCAGACAACTTTGGTTAAAGATGCCACCATATCAGTTAATAGATGCGTGTGGGGCCCAGATGGATCTATACTTGGTAAAGAAAATCATCATTTACCTGAGCTTAATTAACACTTCCATAATATTTATCGATGATATTTGCCTTATTTTGCTTTTGAAGGTGTTGCGTTTTCCAAGCACATTGTTCAGATATATACATATAATCCAGCTGGAGAGTTAAGACAGCACTTAGAAGTGAGAATATTTTCGATTCACCCACTCACTCTCTCTCATGATAATAATGTAGAGTGCCGTTTACTGATGAATTTCTCCCAAAAATGTAGATCGACGCTCATGTAGGTGGCGTTAATGATATTGCATTTGCTCATCCTAATAAGCAGCTTTGCATCATTACATGTGGAGACGACAAAACAATTAAGGTACAAAAAAAAAAAATTAGAAAAAAAAGGAAAAAGAAAAAGTCTTGCCGTATTTCCGGTCGAGTTTTTACATGGTCAGTTGTATTGTATGACAGGTATGGGATGCTGTAGCTGGGCGTAGGCAGTATACTTTTGAAGGTCACGATGCTCCGGTATATTCTGTTTGTCCTCACTATAAAGAGAATATTCAGGTATGATGTTTAGTAAAATTTCTTCCGACTTCTGAATTAACTTAATAGGCTTAAGGGAAGGCAATTTAATTCTATTTTTATCTGCAGTTTATATTCTCTACAGCCATTGATGGCAAAATAAAAGCTTGGCTTTATGATTCGTTGGGATCGAGAGTAGATTATGATGCTCCTGGACTTTGGTGTACAACAATGGCGTATAGTGCTGATGGAACAAGGTACTTTCCGAATGATAATTCTCCCAACTTGGTTTATTCGATTAACCATTCTTTACTTGAATTATAGCGTAGTTTTAGTATCGGTTTTATTGACATATTTCTTTCAGGCTCTTCTCTTGTGGGACAAGCAAAGAAGGCGAATCTCACCTAGTTGAGTGGAACGAAAGCGAGGGAGCCATAAAGAGAACATACTCCGGTTTCCGTAAACGTTCTTTAGGAGTTGTCCAGTTCGACACAACGAGGAACCATTTCTTAGCTGCGGGAGATGAGTTTCAGATAAAATTCTGGGACATGGATAATACGAACATGCTTACTTATTCAGACGGTGATGGAGGACTTCCCGTAAGTATCGTCTCTATTATATTATATGACCCTCTTATCTGGAATATGTTCTTGATTAGGGAATCTTTAAAATGTTTTTCTTTTCTTACAGGCGAGTCCTAGATTGAGGTTTAATAAAGAAGGCTCGTTGCTTGCTGTAACGACAAGTGACAATGGAATTAAGGTTTTGGCGAATGGTGATGGACAACGTTTGTTGAGAATGCACGAGAACAGAGCTTTTGATGGTGCTCGTGGTCTTTCTGAATCCGTAAATGTCAAAGTAATAATTTTTTTTTTTTATTTTGTAATTTTCGTGTACTTGGATTGGATTGTAATTTCTACTAAAACAATTTTTTTTTGTGTCGACAGCCTTCGATTGGTGGTGCATTAGGTCAGATTGGTAATGCTTCTGCCTCAGCTTCACCTATGCTCGAACGTTCTGAGAGAGTTCAACAGCCAATGTCGCTCGGCATTATGGTAATTAATTTTCAGTTTTTATTTCACTATTTCTTTTCTCTGATTTTATTTGCTTATTTCGTTTGCTCGAATTACAGGCTAGTATGGAAAACAGCAGAACATCTGATGTAAAGCCGAGGATTCTTGATAACACTGAGAAAAATAAAAGCTGGAAGTTTCCGGATATTGCTGAGTCAACTCAACTGAAGACTCTAAAATTGCCTGATCCTCTCGCAGCTAGTAAAGTACGATAATCCTAAATTTTCTTGATTTTTTTTTTATAAATTTTTGTAAGCTGCTTCTAGTTTCCAACATAAGCCCATACATTTTCGCTCGTATTTTTTTAATATTTTTTTTTTATTATGTAATGTAGGTTGTGAGGCTGATCTACACAAATTCAGGGTTAGCTGTGTTAGCGTTGGCTTCCAACGCTGTTCATAAGCTGTGGAAGTGGCAGCGAAACGAACGAAACCCCTCTGGAAAGGTTTGAATTCGAATGCGTCGATAAATATTTACTAGATTTATTTAATCTAAATTGTTTGTTTTTTTTTAAAATATGTATTTTTCAGTCTTGTGCCGCTAGTGTGCCTCAGTTGTGGCAGCCTACAAATGGGGCCCTCATGTCTAACGACTTGAGTGATGCCAAACAAGGCGAAGACTCGGTTGCGTGTATCGCCTTATCCAAAAACGACTCTTACGTCATGTCTGCTTCGGGTGGAAAGGTTTCATTATTCAACATGATGACTTTTAAGGTTTCTATCCTATGAACTTTGTCTTTCTTTTTATTTATTTTTTTTTTTATTTTATTTTATTATTTTATTTTATTTTTTATTTTTTATTATAACAATCACAAAATTGTGTCGGATAATTTGACGAACCAATATGTATTTATTCTTTTTTTTTTTAGGTGATGACAACTTTCATGCCGCCACCACCCGCAGCGACTTATCTGGCATTTCACCCTCAAGACAACAATATAATTGCAATCGGGATGGAGGACTCGACTATACAAATTTACAATGTTAGAGTTGACGAGGTAAAGACTAAAAGCTCAAATTTTTTGCATTTATAAACTAATTATTTCCAAAATCCTCAAAAAAATTCATCTTTTACATCGGGCTATACAATAGGTCAAAACGAAGCTCAAGGGCCACCAGAAACGAATATCGGGGCTTGCGTTTTCACAGAGTTTGAATATATTGGTTTCATCAGGAGCTGATGCACAAGTAAGTGTTTCCCAGATAAAGATATTTATTGAACGATTAATTTTGCATTATTTTTCATTAATATATTTACTGCTCGATTTTTGTATTGCAGCTTTTTATCTGGAGCATTGATGGATGGGAGAAGAAGAAATCGAGGCCTATCCAAGCGCCACCTGGCCACTCAGCTCCCTTAGTTGGAGAAACGAGAGTTCAGTTCCACAACAACCAATCGCATGTGCTCGTCGTTCATGAAAGCCAAATTGCAGTTTATGATGCTCAACTCGAATGTTTGCGTTGGGTGAGTTCTCGTTTTTGCTTTATTGCTAATGTTTTTTTCTTAGTATATAAAGCAGTTATGATATATTCGACATTTTGATGGAGCCGTAATTCAATTTGCAGTGGTACCCTAGGGAATCTCTGTCCGCCCCGATTTCGAGTGCTATATATTCGTGCGACGGACTATCGATTTTTACTGGATTTTGTGATGGTGCTGTTGGAATATTCGACGCCGAAAACATGACCCTTCGTTGCAGGATAGCACCTTCTGCTTATATACCCTCTTCAGTTTCCAGGTATTCAAAATCGGAATAAACTAATTAAACATCTGCGAAAGTAATCTAATCATTATTTAATTAATTTATTTTTTAATATTTTTTTGCAGCAATGGAAATTCGTTTCCAGTGGTGATTGCAGCACACCCGTCGGATCAAAACCAATTTGCACTAGGGATGAGTGATGGAGCGGTGCATGTGATTGAGCCGTCGGATGCGGAGACAAAGTGGGGTGGATCGACGGCTCAGGATAACGGGGTTTTGCCTTCGATTCCTTCCAGCTCTGCGTTGAATAGTCAACCATCGGAAACCCCGTCTCGGTGACGCACCATTTTCAAGAAATTTTCTAGACCAAATACGATTAGTTTTTCGTAGGCTTTTCTTCATCGTACTATTTTATTGTAAAATTTTAAATGCGCATTTTGGTTTTTCTTTCACAGTGAAAAATGAGAAGAGGGGGTTTAGTTTGTACTTGTATTTCCATGGTCAATGTTCTTCTTTGCTTTGATTCTCATGCTTTCTAAGAGATTATTTGATAGATGCAGAACCAGTTTTAGTAAATGTAGGATACTTTATCTAAGAATTCAAAAGCTAATATATATTCCGATCTTATTTTGTCAAATCCTTTATTTTTAGAAGTTTTCAATGATATTATTTCGGGCGAGTATCACACGACGAGTTTGAGGCAAAGTTAATAATATCGGATTTTAGCAAGATGCAAATTACAAGTAAAAAGTGTCCTGCATTTACTGAAAGTCGTCATGTATTTATCATTTCAGTTTACAAATACAGTTAAACTTCTATAAATTAGTACAGTCGGAACTAGTAAAATTCTATCAATTTAGCAAAATATTAAATTATCGAACTAATAATTTAGTTGGTTTTTACCGAGTCGGGACCATAAGAAACTATTACTTAACCGATGTTATTAACTTATCGAGGTTCCATTGTGCCGTCTGATTGAATTATATTTATAATTTATTTAGTTTTGACAGCAGAAAAAACAGGGGAGATGCTTGATTCAAATTGATTGTTCCAATTGCTAATACTAATAATATTTTTAAATGATAACATATTTAACAAAAAAAAAAAGAAAAAGAATTAAATTTGGACAAACACATAAAAAAAAGGACTTATCTTTCTTAGAATTGAGCATGTCAAAATCCAAAATCAAGATTCAGTTACCGTTTCAGGTAACATCTTTCTTTTGAATAACTGACTTCAATTTCTCCTTTCTTACTGTCTGGACAACTGTGCACTCTCCAGATTTTTGCCTTGAATTTATGTTTTTTCTGCTATTTAAAAATAATTATTTATTATTATTTTTTTATTTTACAAAAATAAAAAAATGGTGAATAATAAAAACATTGGAACACCACTTTTAAAATCACTTTTTAACAACTTTCATTTAATTCGTAATAAAAAAAAAAAAGCATTCTTGCAGCTTTTTCTTGTGATCTCATCTCCAATCTTATATTATTCCCCTCACATCTCAATTCAAAAACGCTTCCTCTCTCTCTAAATCCAGTCATAGATTCACCCACCTCCTCCTCCTTCTCCGCCGCCGCCGCCGCCGCTGCTGTCAGCAACACCCGTTAATGAAGAAGCAGCAAAAGATTCAGCACCGATCCCCGTCGAGAAAATCGCCCAGACTTTCTTCTTCGACTCAAGTTTCAGCCCAAACAAAACCCGGAAGCAAAGCCCGACCCGGAAATGCATGGGCCCTGTCATTGCACGTGGTGGATCAGCCACCATTGGAAATCCGCTACCCTTCTCCCGGAGAAGACAAATCCATCCGCAGATCTTCAAGGTTTACCACTAACAAGTACAGAACACCGCCTCCCAAATCCAATAGAAGCAGAGGCGAGACAAAAGCGCCACCTGCATTGGCCGTATCTCGATTGAGGAAGTCGCCGAGATTCTCTCCTTCTCCGTCATCTCCGCCGTTGACTTTAACGGACGGTAAGAATTTGGGTTTGGGGAAAGAGGGTTCCAATAAACGGCGTCGTTCTATCGAGGGTGAACAAGATGGGGGGCGAGGTGGGAAGAAGGGCAAATTGGGGCCAATTGATGGGAGTTTAAGGAGATCGTTGAGGCTGAGTGGGGGTAAAATTGGGAATTCGCAGCTCCATCTTCTCTCACTGCCTGAACCGGGTTCGAAATCTGCGAGTAGAGGCTGTTTGACTTCAAGCGCGAGGTGCTTAAGATCGAAAACTGTGCTAACACTTGTCGAGGATGAGAAAGCGAAGGTCGACAAAATTCGTGCCGAGAAAAATGGTGGTGAATTAAGTACAAGTGGGAAGTGCTTAAGGTCGCGTGTAATCGAGCGTGATTTAATCGAATTGGATGAAGTTTCGGAGAAGAGGGTTGCGAGTAGTGGTTCGAGGGAGCTGCGTTCGTTAAGGTCGAGAACTGTTACAATGCCTGTGGGGAGAGAGAAAGAGAAGGCTGTTAATAGTTCGGCGAAGAAAAATGGTGGTGAATTAAGTACAAACGGGAAGTGCTTAAGGTCGCGTGTAATCGAGTGTGATTTAATCGAACCGGCCGGAGTTTCGGAGAAGAGGGTTTCGAATAGTTGTTCGAGGGAGCTGCGTTCGTTAAGATCAAGAACTGTGACAATACATGTGGAGAGAGAGAAAGTGAAGTCGGATAATAGTTTGCACGAGAAAAACGGCGGTGATATGAGTGTGAGTGGGAAGAATTTGAGGTCTCGAGAAACAGAGTACCCTTTGATTGAGTGGCATGGAGATTCCGAAACTACGAATGTAAAGAAGAAAGGTTTAAAATCAAGAGCTGTGAGAAGGGATTTACAGAAAGAAAGTGTGGAGAAAAGTGCTTCTGTCAAAAGCTCTTCGCCTCCGAAAAGTGATTCTGCTTTGGGAAAATCGTGTTATGTGAATGAAGATGAAATTGAACCGAAGAAGGAGAAGGAAATTATATGCTGTTTTATAGGGGAGCCAATTCCCGAAGACGAGGCTCAGAAAAGGTGGCAGTGGCGATACGAATTAAAGGTGATTTGATTACTGATTTTAATTTACTATTACAACGAAAATCATTCTTGTACATTAATTACTCTGATTATACAGTTAATCCATTGACTGCAGTTTAGCATGATCAGTATTTTCGATAATCATTTCGCATTAAAAAATGTTCGTTTTTAAAGGTGATTGATTACTGATTTTACTCATACAACAAGTCACTCTGATTATCCAATTAATTCATTCAGTGCTATTTAGCATGATCAGTATAAGCAATTAGATATTCGATCTTGCACTGATAAAATTGTTCGGGTTTTTGGTTTGCTTCGAGTTTCGTCATATTTAGATTTTATCTTCCCCCTTCATGGCTGAAATAGAAGTATGCTAAGCATTCTTGATTTCGTATTTAAATGCAAGGATCGTTAATTTTTCTAATACTTATTATTGTTGTCTTTTGCGGGATGATCAGACCCGATAAGCAATTGACGTTACCGTTTCTGACTTTAATTGATTTTCGACTCCGCAGAGCAAGAAAACGGGCGAAAGCTGGAAAATAAAGTGAGTGAACCCTACGAACATTCCTTCGGTATTTTCACAATTTTTTCACGTGTTTATTTTATTTCTATAATATACATATTCATCGCCGCAGTGCCGGAGAAGAAGACGAGATCATACTGAACGTGGATTGCCATTATGCTCAAGCCAAAGTCGGCAGCGGTGTTCTTGAAATCGGAGATTGTGTATTTGTAAAGGTAATTTTCGTTCATTTAATTCGTTTCGTTTTTAGAAAACGAGCCAATAACTCATTTGGCCCATGCGTTGAACATTGCAAGATTGACGTGTCCTAAGCGATTCCTTCAGGGCGAGGGAATCAAGAAACACATAGGCAGAATCTTGGAATTTTTCAGAACAATGGAGGGCGAGGATTATTTCAGGGTTCAATGGTTTTTCAGAGCTGAAGATACGGTTCGTTTTTATACGATTATGTGTGTGTGTGTGTGTGTATATATATATATATATATATATATATATATATATTCCCCATTTCTTTTAATCATTATTTGACTGTGGAAATTATTACATCAGGTTTTGAAAGACGCTGCTTCATCGCACGACAAGAGGCGCTTGTTCTACTCAACCTTAATGAACGACAACTTACTAGACTGCATCATTTCGAAAGTCAATGTCGTGCGAATACCACCTGCGGTATAGTTGACTTTTTTCTTTTGCTGCAATTTTTTGTTGATTTTGAATTATTTTCTTCATCGTTGATAATGTGTAAAATTTGTTTGTAATTGTAGTTATGCACAAAATCAAACAGCAATCAGTCGGCTGCTTTTTACTATGATATGGAGTACTGCGTCGAATATTCGACATTTCGTACCTTGGTTCCAGGTTAGTAATAATCGGCCGCATTTACGTAAGCCCGAATACTCTGTTTTGTTCAGAAATTTTACGTATAATCGGCAAATACTTTGGCTTGGATGAAGTTTTGCTTCTATTTGCTAACGTCAGCTGTCAATAATATTTCAGAGACTTCTACAGAGAGCCAATCAATATCGTTGAACACGAAGCACTCGGACGAGGAGCCAATTACTTTTTCGCCCTTGGACATTTTTCCCAAAAACGAGTCTTTGAAACAAGAATTAACATTACTAGATCTCTACGCTGGATGTGGTGGAATGTCCACTGGACTGTGTTTCGGTGCAAAGCTTTCTAATTTAAACCTCGTCACGGTACGATACATCTCGGATTTAATTTTATTTCGTAATTATATTCAACTTTTTTAAAACTTATTTTTTTCCGCCGTATTTTCAGAAATGGGCTGTTGATTTGAATAGCTCCGCATGTGAAAGTTTGAAACTGAACCACCCCGAAACCAAAGTGCGTGAAATTCTACTCGAGTAATACATTACTGCGTTCACTATGTAGAGTGACTGTAAAAATCCGAGCTTATCTTAATTTTTGTACAGGTCAGAAATGAATCTACCGACAATTTTCTAGAGTTATTAAAGCAATGGAAGAAACTGTGTAAGTTGTATGTGGGTGATTTAGAAAGAGCACTCGACTGCGAATTAGCGGACCCACACGAATCTGAAAACTGCACAGCTCAATCGGATAGTGATAGCGAGGAATCTTCCGAAGAATATGAGGTCTCCTTTCTAGTTGATATTTGTTACGGTGATCCGAACAAAAACGGAAAATGTGGGCTCCACTTCAAGGTATATTATTATTATCGAATAATCTTTTCGTATTATTCGATTTGTTCAATTAAATCGTCAGATAATAATACGTCGTCAAAATTTATTTCGTGAAATCTCCGGAATTTTCTATTTTGTTGGAGTTTTACATCTCGAAGCGTTTTTTGTAGGTACGTTGGAAAGGGTATGGCCCAGATGACGACACATGGGAACCAATCGAAAGCTTGAGGTAATACTATAGCGTTTTAGCACTACTTTCGTAATTATGTTAATCCATGTTGTTAATTAACCATTTCTTCTATTAACGGTTTCAGTAATTCGAAAGATTGCATAAAGGACTTTGTTCGAAAAGGATTCAAATCCAAAATCCTACCTCTCCCCGTGAGTATTAGTACAATTTTCGTTTATTGCTCAAATACAAATCGGGAAAAGTACATTTTTCATCCCTCAAGTTTACCTCGATTTAACATTTGGTCCCCTTGTTCACAAAAAAAAAAAAAAAAACAGATTAGATTTAGTCCCTCATGTTTAAAAAACTTTAAAAAGTTCTCTCCTTCAAATTTCCGTTAGTACCTAATGGAATCAAGCATGCGTCCATCGTTGTTGTCTTAACAGAGAGACTAAAGGTAAATTGACGGAAATGACCAAAAGTGTTAAATTGTTGAAACATGAGGGAGTAAATCTGTTTTTGCGAACAAGGGGGACCAGATGTTGAATCGAGGTAAACTTGAGGGACTAAAAGTGTATTTTTCTCAATACAAATCCAATGTCACTTTCTATGGCTAATAGAGGTAAATAACAATTACAGGGCGATGTCGATGTCGTATGTGGTGGCCCGCCATGTCAGGGCATTAGCGGTTATAACCGCTACCGAAACTTCGTCTCCCCATTGACCGACGAAAGAAACCGCCAGATCATCGTCTTTATGGACATAGCCGAGTTCTTAAAGCCCAAATACATTCTCATGGAAAATGTGGTCGACATCATAAGGTTTGACAATGCCTCTCTTGGTCGGTATGCATTGAGCCGTTTGGTGCGCATGAAGTACCAATCGAAGCTAGGCACTATAGCCTCCGGTTGCTACGGCCTCCCTCAATTCCGCCTGCGTGTCTTCATTTGGGGGGCCCACCCTAGAGAAACGCTCCCCCGTTTCCCGCTCCCCACTCATGAGGTTGTCGTGAGGAATTATCCGCCGCTTGAGTTCGGGAGGAACATCGTCGGTTACGATGAGGGCCAACCACGCACCCTCGAAAACCCCATAACTCTAGTTGACTCAATTTCCGATCTCCCGCCCGTAACAAATGAAGAAACCCTAGAGGAAAGAATCTACGAGAAGCCTCCGGAAACCGATTTCCAAACCTACATACGTTTAACGAAAGATGAAATGATGGGCTTTTCTTCAAAAGAAAAGCCAACTCCGATTTTGTATGACCACCGGCCGTTGAAGCTCTCGGAGCACGACTACTTGCGGGTCCTACAAGTCCCCCACCGGAAGGGGGCCAACTACCGGGACTTCGCCGGAGTGATCGTCGGAGAAGACAACGTGGCCCGAAAAGATCCGTCGATGGAGGCGGTGATGCTCCCGACGGGGCGGCCGTTGGTGCCGGAGAGCACGCTCACGTTCGAGAACGGTAGATCGAAGAAACCCTACGCGAGGTTGTGGTGGGACGAGACCGTTTCGACCCTCGTGACTTTCCCTCACGTCAGGGCTCAGGCGATCTTGCACCCGGAGCAAGATAGGCTCCTCACCGTACGAGAGTGCGCGAGGTTGCAAGGGTTTCCGGATTTTTATAGGTTTTGTGGGACCGTTAAGGAGAGGTATTGTCAATTAGGGAATGCGGTTTCGATTCCGGTGGCGCGGGCTTTGGGATATGCACTCGGAATGGCTTACCGGAAGGTGGAGGTGGCCGGAGATGAACATTTGATGGTTTTGCCAGAAAAGTTTTCGTCTCGGGTGCCTTCGGTTGATGAAGTAGTTGATTTAGGTTAGGTTATGCTTAGTTCTTGAAATTGGTGTAATATTTGTTGTATGTTGTTTGTTGTAACCTTATTACTAGGTTCATTTGCATAGAGCTTTGATCCATTGATGTATGTATGTATTATTGAATTAAGTTTGTATTGTTAACTTATGAAATAGTTTGCCCTAATTTATACACACAAGCTTATAGATATTGAAATGTAATTAGGTAAATTAGGTAATTAATTTAACATTGTACAATAATAAAGATAAAAAAAAAAAAAAAAAAAGAAAAAAAAAGAAATTGGAGCAGGTTCAATTCACGCTAAGAATATCATTATTCTGCAGTCACTTCAAATCACTCGTATTTCGCGGCCGTATCGACACGTGTCCTTTTTTTTTTCCAACCTATTGGTCTATTTGACTCTTTTATGGAAATGACCACTAAATTTCTGCTTTCCGCACTTTCTCCCCAAAAAATTAAAACAATGAATATTTTGCTTTCGAAATATTATATTGATTGCACTTTGCCCATAGCCAATATTTGGAGGATTTTGTGCAACAAAAATAACATTTTAAAGTGACAATGTGAAAAAACATAATGTGTTTAAGGGGCAGCATGCAATAAAAATAACATTTAAAAGGGCAAAGTGTAACAAAAATACTCAATTCCAATGAACAATCCAGCGGAGTTTTACTATCGGAGCAATGTCCAACAAGAGTAATATTTTGAAGGGGGACATTCACTTTTGAAAAATTTAAGGGGGTAAAGTGCGAAAAATATAAATTTAAAGGGGTTGATGTGCAATTTATCCTTTATTTATTTATCTTTTTAGTTTTTTTGTTATTAATATATTATATTGCACAGTCGCATGAAATACAATGAAATTCCCTACGCTATGATAAAGGTAGCAGCAACCAATGGCCGTCCTCAGTTTGAAAGACGTGGCACGTGAGGAAAAGGAATATTCGTGTCCCCACATCAGCCGGCGAATATTCCGTGCTGCCGTAAGCGTGTCACCCGGGCTCTGCTCCTCTGCACCACGAACCAAACTTCAATCACCGCAAATCTCCATCTCGACCGTACGAATAAATAATCGAATGAATCCAACGGCCTAAATGTAAGGACACGCGTACGCCTGAGTACACCGGATCAAGATTCTTCATTTTGTTAGAAACCATATTCGGCAATCATGTTTCTTCAGATTCGTCGCCGATTTTTCCTCCCCCATGTTCTTTTTTTTTTTTTTTTTTTTTATTACACAAAAAGAAAACTCCAAAATAGAATAATCCAAATGTTGATCAATGATGCATGTCGTGACGGTTCTGTAGATGCTATACCCGATTAAATAAATCGAGTGATTCTGCACCGTTTATCTATACATGATATAGTGCAAAAATCACGGGGTGTAGCATCTCATAAACCTGATATGGTAGTGTGTGACTGTGTCTCTGTTATCAGTTGCTTATATGCCCTAAAGTGGAAATCGAACGGAATTTCCGATTTTATTTCAATTCATATTCGAATATTCTTGATTTTGGAGTAACATTTTTCATTTTCCGAGTTCTGAAAGTCTCGTTTTTCACGAAACTAGAATATATATTACATTCCAAAATTCGATTCGATTTTCATTTTCGATTATTTCATTATTTTTTTTTCCAAGAATTACACCTTAGATATCAACACTATAGGTGACTAAAAAATGAAAATCCCGAATTTTCTGGATTTTGATCTGAAAAATATCGATTCCAAAAAAAAAAAAAAAAAACCGGATCCCAACGATTTTTGGAACAAAATTGGAATTGGGTTTTCACTTCTGATTTTTTTTTTTTTAAGAAAGTGATAATTACGACGATCTCATTTATTAGCTAGTGTAGCATCTAACTTATAACGATGTATACTATATTGAAATGGAGAGTGCATGAATGTTAAACAATAGGATCTATGACTAATGATATATATATATGTACGAGGAAAAACTAAAAATGATGAGACTACTAATTCAACAAATCGAGCCCGTGAACTTATATATATACACATATATATATATATATATATATATATATATATATATACATATATATATATATATATACAACCACTATATGCTTTTTCTCTTGTGGTTTTTTAAGCTTTCATGCTTTTTAATTACCAGAAATTCTCTGTGCTGTTCACTTCTTTTACTTTTTCAGAAGAATAAAGACAATCTAGCTATAGAAGCCTAAAAGAAAGTAATTGGGAGAGATAATTTTAAACAGCTGGTTTATTTATTTATTTATTTATGTCGCCGTGGTTGTGGTGAGGTGTAGTAGCTATGGAAAGAATGTACGGCGGCGGCGGCGGTGGTGGTTTGATGATGACCAGAGACTCAAAGCCACGGCTGAGATGGACTTCTGATTTGCATGATCGTTTTGTTGATGCTGTCACTAAGCTTGGTGGCCCCGACAGTCAGTCTCTCTCTCTCTCTCTCTCTCTCTCTCTCTCTCTCTCTCTCTCTCTCTCTCTCTCTCTCTCTCTCTCTCTCTCTCTCTCTCTCTCTCTCTCTCTCTCTCTCTATGTGTATGTGAGTAAGTCAAATATAATTATTCTTAGAATTATGTAAACATTGTTTTCTTGAATCTTACTTGAATCATGTGAAGAAATGGATCCTCTGTTTCGGAATTAGAAACATCGTATCGTGATAGATAGATCGTAAATTACTTGATCGATGCACGCGCATTCGGGATTTTTTAATAATAAATATTCTCCGACGACGAATCTAAAAAGTCGTGGCCTGGTATCGAATTTACAGAGGCTACTCCGAAATCTGTATTGAGGCTAATGGGATTGAAGGGATTGACTTTGTATCACTTAAAGAGTCATTTACAGGTACTTATTTTAGTTACTCGTTTGATTACACGAACTCGTCGTTTTTTCATCTTAACCGACGTTTAATTTTCTCGTTACTCGTTTCACTTGTCCAGAAATATAGGCTTGGACAACAACAACAACAAGCCAAAAAACAGAATGTTCTTGATCACAATAGAGAGAACAGTGGTGAGTCGATTTTCTTTGATTTATAATTTTCGTCTGATTTATTTCGTTTTATTATTGTCTTAATTATTTCTGGATTCTATGTTCTAGAAAGTTCTTATGGGCATCATAACATGCGTATCGCAAGCACGAGCGCTAATTCATCGAGCATGAATAGTGAACAAGGGTAGGTGTTTTAATTTCAACTCGATTTTTAAATATTTCAATGAGTATATATTGATATCACTATAATATAAGTTGATTATCGAAATAAGCTCGTTTGATTAAAAGCTAATTTCGATTAACATTGAACAGAGACATTCCGATTGCCGAAGCACTTAGGTGTCAGATTGAAGTGCAGAAAACACTGCAACAACAGCTTGAGGTATATATATTACATATATTAACTGACATAAATTAAATAAAATAAATTGAATATATTATTAATTTTTATTTTCCTGCGACAGGTGCAGAAGAAATTGCAAATGAGAATAGAAGCACAAGGGAAGTACTTGCAATCGATACTCGAAAAAGCTCAACATAGTCTTTCTACCGACATAAACCAGTCCGAAAATCTGGAATCGACTAAAGCTCAATTAACCGACTTCAATTTAGCCCTCTCAAATTTCATGCAAACAATAAACGGAGACGAAATAAATGGAAATAAAGAAGCACGTGAAACGAGAGACGGCCATATCAAGCTTGAAACCGAAGGGCCTTCGATCGAGTTTGATTTAAATTCAAGAAGTAGCTATGATTTCATCGGCATCAATAATCGAGCAGTACTTGAAGCTAACCAATTCCAAAATAGATGAGTTTTTTTTTGTTACTTTGATATAGTAGACAATAATTGATCGAATAAAAGTATTAAATTGGTCATATATCTAAGTAGCGGTTTAAGTAGTCGTGCATGCGTGTGTATTCGACTTCTGGATAAAGTGTAGAAGCTTCTTCTCCATCTTCTCCGATCTCGAAGTTTGTCAAGCAACCCTCGAAGAAAATATGATAGAAATGTCCTAATCCAACTTGCATAACAAAATCGGCACCTATAAATTCAATCATTTCATGTATGTCATTTCATATAATTAATATAATTAGGCTAATGTTTTAGGTTATTTAAATAATTATTATGTACCTTCCATATTTGCTAGAAACTCTTCTTTAGAGATGCAGGTCTTGTCTAGTGACTTTCCGGTAAGATTCTCCCATTTTCCGACCAACTCGCTTTGACTAAGAATGTTTTCCGGTGGCCGGAGATACACTGTCTTGTTCAACGTACGAGGGTCGTCTATCGACTTGATGGTGTACGTTGCCACATCTTCTTCATCCATAAACACCACTGTAATAAATTGAAGAGCCCTAATTATAATCGGAATATTGCAAGTGATCAAACTCGTGATCGGAATTATTGCAAGAATGTATAAGAAAAAATAATCGAATATTGTTAATGTATTGTCAGATGCTACACCGACTGAAATACACGAGATCACATGTTACCATAAATTCTATACTTAATCACACACATACTTTAAATATGTATAAAATATGGGAAAATTTTTATTTTTCACCCCTCAAGTTTGCACCGATTTCACATTTGGTCCCCCATATTCACAAAAAATACGTTTGGTCCCTCATGTTTCAATAATTTAACACTTTTGGTCATTTTTCGTCAATTTTTTACCGTTTGTCCGTCAGTTAAGGCAGTGATGGGCACACTCTTGATTCCGCTAGTTTAACGAAAAATTGATGGAAATTACTAAAACTGTTGATTTTTTGAAACATGAAGGACCAAATGTATGTTTTTTTTTTAACATATGGGACCAAATATGAAATCGGTGCAAACTTGAAGAATGAAAATTATATTTTTCCCATAAAATATGTATACGCTCAAATATTAAATACGCATAAATCAATATATATAGATATATTTATACCTTTAACATTTCCATCACCATAGATGGAGGCTTTGTGTTTAGGAGGAAGAAGAGTTTCCATCTGAGAGAGGTTTCCGACAAAGTATCCGGCGAAGCAGTTGGCGGAGATGTAAGTGTGCGGGATTTTGGCTTCTTCGATTGCCTTTCGGACCGTCATTTTCTCGTCGAATGTTACTCTCCCGGGCGCAAGTGCATGCTCCATTTGCGCTGGATCCACACCAAACTCCGAAGGCAAGAAACGCTTCAACAAAATTCATTCCAAAAATTAACATTTTTTTTTCGAAAAATTAACATTTTTTCAGAAAAGAGGAATAAAATAGTCTACAAACGGACTCCCAAAGTCACAAAAACAAGAAAAAGGAATAACATTAGCAGAAACAAAACCATTCCAATCGGATTCGAAGGGCCGTTTAACAAGATTGTAATTCTGCTTCCGATTTTTCCAAATTTTTTTTGGATCAGAACTGGAATATACAAGGTTACGTTCTCCGATCGGACTTTAATTTCCGAAAGTAAATCAATTAATTTAAAATGTCCCTGAAAATTTGTTATAATATCACTATTATTATGTATTTTATATTATAGGGGCATAATAGAAATAGGATTCCGATTCCGGCCTGAAAATTTTCGATTTTGGAATATTTTTTTTTCATTCTAATTTTCAAAATTCTAAACATACATAAAAAAAAATGGGTTTTTCTTTTTTCTTTTACAAGAACTCCTGTATAATCTCTAATTGCAAATAAACCCTTGTGTTACAAAAAATAGCAACGACCGCCCTATGAAAATTAGTCAAAACCAAAAAAACCCTCTAACAGCTTTTCGTGTGGTGCATTTGCGGATTGTGCGGTTGGAGGTGTGTTCTTGACATGAAAAGTAAAAAATACCCTTAAAATTCAAAAAAAAAATTGAAAATTACAAATTCATCCTTAAATTTTATAAGCTCTTAAATGAAATTTTCAGAATTTTTAGTTCAGTCCTTTTCATTTCTATAAAGCTCTCTTCTTCAAATCTGCTCCACATTTTCATTGTACATACTACTTGAAAATTAATATTTTTTATATGAAAAAAAGGGTTTTATAAATATAATATTTTGCATGCATAATTAATTACTAAATTAAACCAAATTAAGTAGCTGGGTTTAAATTTCTGTACCTTAACATTTCCAGCTTCTTTAATGGCGTCAACAAGCTTAAGCTGCAGCAGCAAATTGTGGCTCCTGAAATGCACACCGGAGATTGCGCAGATCACTACATCAACTTTCTTCACCGCTTCCACCAAGCTCCGGTGATCGGAAAACGACCCCTCGACCAGCTCTGCCCCCTGCCGCTTGAATTCCATCAGAACCTGCAACTTGTCGATGTCCAACCCTATCTCCGGCCGCCGGAGAATGAAAGTCCGGTGGCCCTCCGCCAGGCTAGCCTTCACCAGCCTCTTTCCGATGTATCCTGTTCCGCCAACTATAAGAACCCTAGTTTTCGCCATTATTATTTCTCCTTCTTTAACTTCAATTTATTTTCATTTTTCAGAACCCAAAACAGAACTTTATATAGAGGTTTAATTGGATCACAATATTGAGTTTACGTTACTCAATGTTTACCTATACATGAACTACATTATTTGGACAACCACCCCTGAGTTAATCTCAAATTATGAAATAACCCCTCATATTTGGTAATTACAGTCACCTCCCTCCACTATGAATCTTTTTACACGTTTGCCCTTATAGTGTCAAACTCAACGAAATATTCTAGATTCTGTGGCATGTTCTCTAGTTTGTGCTCGTTTTATACAAAAATGCAGTTTCTGATCGATGCACGACAATCTGATATTTACAAGCTTAAGCCAATAGACACATCTTACGATAATCTTGTTTCAAAATGTGGAGTTCGAATGAGATAATTAATACGGATACAAACTGGAGAATATTTCACTAAATTTGACACTGTAAGGGTGGACATGTAAGAAAATTCAAAGTTGATGGAATGATTATAAATTTGTAATTATTCAAATATGAGGGATTTTTTCATATTTTGGCATTACTTCGGAGGTGGCCTGCATTTCCCCAAAAACGAAATACAAATGAAAATTATGGCATAAATTATTAAAAAAATGTATTTTTCCAAGTGGGAGTTGGTTTCAGGATAGTGTTAGGTGATTATATTGAAATTGGCAATAATTAGTTTTTTCTTTTCCCAAATTTTAAACTCACTTCTTTATGAGTCGACATAGATAAGGAATCAAATTTTATGTGGTATGCATTTCTCCATGTATAGCATATATTATGTATTATATTTTATATATATATATATATGCATTACCTACCACATGGTCCACATCAAAGTTTGGTTGTGTATCTCATATATATGTATGATACAATCATACAAGTGTCATAGTAGGGGTTGTTTCGGTTTTAGAGGTTTGTACATTTCAGACTATTTCTTCTTATAAAAACGTGTCATTTAAGATAAGTACGAAGAAACTAAATTCGTGTTACAATGAATCGAATATGTTATTTAAAAAATATCAAGGCTTTTTTTTGCTAGTTTATTTATTACAAGGAATTTCTACAATTTCATGATTATTTGGGGGTACTTTTTGCAATTTACTCCACAAACAAAATATAGAACAATATTGGATCATGTTAGGTGGGATTTATCAGCTACTCCCATATTTAACCATATATCCAATGCAGATGATGAATAAATCGACACACACACACACACACAAATACATATACCAAAAACTTGTTGGGTGCTAAATACCTAACACGCAAGTGCACGTATCGCAAACAAGTAGTAAAAGTGGACTCGTGAGAGTCGGATGTCGATCCCACAGGGAATACTCAAATTATCTAATCCTAAGTACCAAATTCTAACAACTATGATTTTTATCCAGCCTACGCAAGTTTGTCAGATCTAATCAACTAAATAATTAAACTAATTATGAAAGCAAATAAACACGGGAAAATATCAATAAAAATAGACCTAGGATTTTATCTTCCCCTATGCAAGAATTGCTCACCCAAAACTCCTCAATTATGAAATCTATGATTCATGATTATTAACCCGAGACACTAATTTACTCATAACCCGCTGTCGCGTGTATTATGAGTCTATTATTCATAAACGGTTCACTATATGTCTATGCAAACTAGTTATGAATAAAGCATTAACTTAGAAGTCTAGTCAATGGCTACCTAAGGTGATATATGTATGTCTACGACACCACATGCAATTGACACACTCATCCGGTGAAAAGTACTCGAAGGTTCTTCTACTTACCGTCTAATTATCAAGATAGCTCTGTCGACTCAATCCCAATAATCACAGATAAAGCACATAAATTGATCAAGTTCATGCACTAACAATCATATCAAGTAGAAGAAATAATCATAAAATCATAATTGCATAATCTCAAGAAAACGGGTTCACCATCCCCACATAGGGTTCCAACAAAATCCTAGATTAAAAACTTAGCTACGCATGTTCTCTACGAAAAACATAATAAAAATATAAAAACACATAGATTAAGAAAAGATAGAATAAAGAAGAATTGTGATGAAGAGTTGTCAATTCTCCGTCTTCGATTCTTCGTTCTCTCGGTCCTCTCGCTCCAAGGTTGTGTCCAAAAGTTCTTTAATTCGTGCTTGGTTTGCCCTTAAATAGATGTCCCAACCTGGTAGATGATTTTAGGTTTCCTTGTGTGATTAAAACTCCAAAATTGTCTCCAGTGTGTGTTGGCGCGGCAGCGCGAAAATCAGTCAAAATCTCACACGGCCGCACGAGAATCGCCGAAACGTTCTGCCCAACTTCTGCAGTTGGCACGGCCGTGCCAAACATAGGCTAATTTTGGCACGGCCGTGCGGGCCTGTTTTCAGCCAATTTTCAGCATATTTTTGATTATTTCACTTTTGTCCCATATTTTCTCCAAAATTGCAGTTTTGACCCCATATTTTTCCAATTCTTCAATTTGTACATAAAATACAATAAACCACTCATTAAGCATCATTAAATCAATAAAGTATACAAAAATCCTCGTAAGAAAGTATTCATTGAGTGTAAAATACACACTCAACAACACACATACACACGCACACAGATACACACACACACACACACACACACACACACACACACACACACACACACACACACACGAGACTTGTCAAGTATATGTGTATATGCAGTACATCTGATGTGATACTAGGGCTGTAAAAACAACCTTAAAATCTACTGTTCCATGCATTCTTTGATTTCAAGGAAAGCAAGCAAATTTCTGCACCCAATTATGCCTTCAAATCTTATGGGAAAATTAGTTTTCATCTCTCAAGTTTGCATCGATTTCACATTTGGTCTCTCATGTTTGAAAAAATCAACGTTTTTAGTCATATCCATCAATTTCCCGTTATTACTAACGGAATCAAGCGTGTGTTCATCAATGCGAGTTAACGGTAAAATGAAGGAAATGACCAAAAGTGTTAAATTATTGATACATGAGGAACCAAATGTGATTTTTGTGAACACGGGGGACCAAATGTGTAATTTGTGCAAACTTGAGGGATGAAAAGTGTAATTTTCCCAAATGTTATTGACAAAAAACCCTTTACATTTCTTCGTATTTACGTCAAATTTATTTCTATTATTATTTATGAAGGTACCAAACTTATTTCTATTATTATTTATTAAAAAAGAAAAAAAAAAAGATTATACTTTTTAACGTACTAAGAAGCACATGCACATATACTAGTGGAAGATAAGGAAATAAGAAATGTCCACAGAAATGTCGACAGAAATGTGGTGGCAATTGCTTCTTTGACTAAAAAGGCGCACACCAAAGTTGAAAACATATACTTTGAATTTTGATAAACCAAGATCTGCACTGCATTATTCCCCTTCATTTCATATTCCAAACAATTAGCAAGATTTTTTTTTCTTTTAATCAAAGTTGCTCTGCGTTTCATCATCTTGTTCAGAAATGGCAGAGGCTTTCCTTGGAATAGTTCTTGAAAATCTGAGCTCACTGATCCAAGGTGAGATTGGATTGATTATGGGTGTTGATGAAGAGATGAATAATCTGTTCAGCACACTCACCACCATTCAATCCGTGCTCGAAGATGCCGAGATGAAGCAACTTCAAAGCAGAGCCATTCAGAACTGGCTGATCAAGCTCAAAGATCTTACGTATGAGATTGATGACATCTTGGATGAGTGTGCTACAGAACTCTCCAAATTGGAGCACAAAAACAGCGCCAAATCAAGTCGCTATAGCTTGAAGAAAATTCTCTTCCGGCACAAAATTGGAAGAAGGATGAAGCAGGTCACTGCAAAACTGGACGCGGTTGCTGCGGAGCGTGCTAAGTTCCATTTGCGCGAGATTGCTGTTGAGAGGCCATACGAGTTTTCTGCCACCCGTGAGACTGGTTCCGTTTTGAACGAGTCTCGTTACATTTATGGCAGAGAAGAAGATGCAGAGAAGATTGTTGACATCTTGGTCAACCAGGTCAACGACAATCAAGAAATTACCATCCTCCCCATAATTGGTGTTGGAGGCCTTGGCAAGACTACCCTTGCTCAATTAGTCTACAACGATCCACGGGTCGTTGAACATTTCGACAAAAGAATATGGGTTTGTGTGTCTGACGATTTCGATCAGAAGACTTTGGTGAAAGCCATGATTGAATCTGGGGGTGGAAGTGCTTCGGACTTGGTGCACTTGGATGCTTTGCAGCGCGGCCTATGGGAGTTGCTGAACAACAAGATGTACTTGCTGGTATTGGACGATGTTTGGAACGACGATCAGGAGAAGTGGTCTGAATTAAGAAATGTTTTGGCATGTGGCCGGAGTGGTAGTTCGATTATCGTCACCACACGCCTCAAAAGAGTTGCTGATATAATGGGAACACTTCCACCACATTACTTGAAGGGATTGTCAAACGAGCATTGTTGGATGTTGATGCGTGAACGAGCATTCGGACAAGAAAAAGAGGAACATCCAAACCTGGAAGCCATTGGGAAGCAGATTGTGAACAAGTGCGTTGGTGTTCCTTTGGCTGCTAAGGCGCTCGGAGGTCTATTGCGGTTTAAGAGAACTGAGAAAGAGTGGAATTATGTAAAAGAAAGTGAAATATGGGAATTGCCTCAAGAAGAAACTCTGATATTGCCAGCCTTGAAATTAAGTTATCATCATCTTCCTTTATCATTGAGGCAGTGTTTTGCTTATTGTGCAGTCTTTCCCAAGGATTCTCAAATTACGAAAGAAGAGTTGATCTTTATGTGGATGGCGCATGGATGTATTTCATCAAATGGAGCACTTGAAATAGAGGATGTTGGCAATCAAATATGCGATGAGCTCCTTTTGAGATCCCTTTTGCAGTATGGTTTACATCCTTTTACAAATGAACCAACTGAACCAACTCTCGTTATGCACGATCTTGTTCATGATCTCGCCCAATCAATCATGGAGAACAAAGTTCCTGGAACACAAGTCCAAAGGACAAACTTCAGAAGTGCATCGCCTAACAGCAAAATCCGCCAGGTGAATTTGCAAAAAAAGTTTATTCTCTTTCCTACTAGTAATCAATCAGAGATGGATATGCCTCTCGTCTTAAAGAACTTTTTGCGTTTGAGAATATTAGATGCAAGTTCGACAAGGATAGAAAGTTTGCCTTGTGCAGTAGGCAATTTGAAACATTTGCGACAATTGAATTTGTCTGGAGCTAAAATCCGTACCCTACCAGACTCAATATGTAGTCTCTGGAATTTGCAAGTCTTGAATTTGGTCTACTGTCGATGGCTTGAGGCGTTACCGAAGAAGATGAGGTGCTTGATTAATCTTCGCCATCTATTTTTGGAAGGTTGTAGATCATTAAAGGAGATGCCATCTAAAATTGGAGAACTTACTAGCCTTAAAACATTAAGTGTGTTCATAGTGGGTCGTAATAGAGGTAATCGACTTGAAGAGTTGCAGTGCTTGAAGCTGGGTGGCAAGCTTAGAATCGAACATCTGGAGAGAGTGGAAAACCCTATGGATGCAAAGAAAGCAAATTTTGCTGATAAAGAAAATCTTAGTCATTTGTATTTAGAGTGGAAACCTGAGAATACTGCATCAAAATTATCGGAGGAAGAAGATATAGTTAGAGATGAAAAGGTGTTGGAAGCACTTGAGCCTCACCCAAATCTTGAAACTTTATATATAAAGGGATTCAGGGGTAGGTGTTTTCCAGTTTGGATGTCGAATTCAACTATGGAGAAACTAGTTGGAGTATATCTCAAAAATTGTGAGAATTGTTTGCATCTTCCACGGCTGGGAGAGCTACCTCATCTTAAATCCTTGAGTTTAAAGAATCTCGCTCGGGTGGAGTACATACTTGAAGATCAAAGTGGAAATCGATTAACGAGCGTACAACAGTTCCCATCTCTGGAAACACTGTATTTAACAACTCTCCCCAAAATGAAAGGGTTGTTAAAAGAGCAAGTGACGATGGGATCAGCAGCTAAAGCATTCCCAAATCTTAAGGTGCTAAACATTCGAGATTGCAATTCATTAATTATGGCTTCATTGTCTAAGCTGGATCTGAACGCTCTTACTGATCTTTCCGTGGACTTTAAGGAGAATATGACGACATGTATCTCAATTGAGACGCTGCAAAGGCTGACCAATCTCAAGAAGTTGGCGATTAAAAAAGCAAGTGATCTTCCAGAACAAGGGATGCGAGCCTTGATATCTCTTACACATTTAACGATAGAAGAATGTGATACACAGAGGTGTTTGCCTGAAGGGTGGTTGCGACACCTCACTTCTCTGGAGGAACTAGAAATATCTTACTGCCAAGAACTAGTAGAGCTGCCGGAGGAGGGGATTAAACACCTCCACAGCCTTAAAACAGTATTCCTATTTGATCTACCAAAGATGGTTTGTGTTCCTAAAGCATTGAACCACCTCTCATCCTCACTCCAATCTCTATACCTATCCTTACTTCCAGAGCTGAGTTCACTGCCGGAGTGGTTGGGAGATATGACATCTCTTCACGCTCTCGGTATTTATGTGTGCCCAAAGGTAGCATCACTTCCAGCTAGTATCCAGGGAATGACAAAGCTCCAATACCTGCAAGTGCAGGAATGCCCGGAAATGGAAAGGAGATGTGAGAGAGAAAAGGGAGAGGACTGGCACAAGATAGCACATATTCCCCACCTGAAAATTGGTTAATGGATTCTCCTTCTTTGGTATGTAGCTCCGGTCAATCAATCTCTTTTCTTTTATCGTGTTTAGTATTTCTGCAACTATCTTTTTGTTCTCTTCTGTGATAAGTGGTGTTAGCTTTGACACATCCTTAACTATTTCTTTTTGCTTTGACTAATTTCACATATTCGATTCGCTGCCTGCTGATATTCGTTGGATTGTGATTACAACTTACAAGAAAACATCTTCAACTAACTTTTTAGCTGCAATACATATTTTGTGCACATTTCTGTTAGTTGCTGATGAATAAACTTCTTTAAAAAAATCTCTTGTTTTCTACTCTCTCTCTCTCTCTCTCAACACCAAAGCAATTACGTCATTCTACATAAAAAAAGATAAATAAAGAATACACAAATACTGTCAAACACAAAACTGACCTCACCCAATTATAATTATGTGTGCTGCCGACACAATTATTAGTAGGTAAATTACAAAACACCCCCTGAGTTAAGGTCTATTTACTAAAACAAACCCCTCATTGTTCCACAATTACATCCATCCCCCTAACATTTGTAGATTTCTTACAGTGACATCCATTTGTTTGGGGGTGGGGGTAAGAAATTTAGAAACTGCAAGGAGCTGAATGTAATTTCTCAAACACCAGGGGTTTTTTTGTAATTAGACTTTAAATCAGGGAGGTGATTCTAATTTACCCAAATTACTAGTAGAAGCTGATAAGAAATGTCCACGGAAATTTGGTGGCAAATTCTTCTCTGCATTTACTTTGAATATTGATATACCATCATTTCATATTCCAAACAATTAGCAATAATTACTTTATTTTTTTATCAAAGTTGGTGTGAATTTACATTAGTTTTTTTTTTTTGACAATTAATTTATATTAGTTGAATTTCAATTAGTTGAGAAATGGCAGAGGCGTTCCTTCAAATAGTTGTTGAAAATCTGAACTCACTGATCCAAGGTGAGATTGGATTGATTCTTGGTGTTAATGAAGAGATGAATTTTGATATACCAAATATCTGCACTGCATTATTCCCCTTCATTTCATATTCCAAACAATTTGCAAGATTTTTTTTTCTTTTAATCAAATAGTTCTTGAAAATCTTGAATGGCGGAAGCTTTCCTTGGAATAGTTCTTGAAAATCTGAGCTCATTGATACAAGGTGAGATTGGAATGATAATGGGTGTGGATGAAGAGATGAATAATCTGTTCAGCACACTCACCACCATTCAATCTGTGCTCGAAGATGCCGAAACGAAGCAACCCGAAAGCAGAGCCATACAGAACTGGCTAATCAAGCTAAATGATGTTACATATGAGATTGATGACATCTTGGATGAGTGTGCTACACAATTCTCTATATGGAAGCACAAAAACAGCAAACTAAGTCGCTATAGCGTCAAGAAACTTCTCTTCCGGCGCAAAATCGGAACAAGGATGAAGCCATGGTTCGCCGGAATGGCGTCGGAACGGCCGTTCCGGAACGGGAACGGTGTCCTCCATTCCGGAATCCGTAACCAGAACGGTGTTTGCACTGTGATTCGTCGAAACGCCGAGAAATCGGTGGGATGGGCGAGACGGAGCCACGGAACGGCACCGGAACGGTGCCGGAACAGGAAAAAAGATTTTGAAAAAAAAAAAAAAAATTTGACTAAAAAAATAAGGAAAATAAACATAAATAAATAAATAAATAAATAAATAATATGATGGTAGTGGCCACGTCAGATAATGAAGATTTCCCTGAATCACAGATCTTTTGCCTCACTCTTCAATTATATCCTACACAATTCCAGTTCGGTATTCTACTTGGTATTAATATTGCTTGTATTTTCATAATATTCATTGTAATATTTATTTTTTAAATTGTAATAATATTTTGCATATTATTGCATCGCAATATTATTATTAAAAACATATTTGAAATATATTGTTCCATTTGCTGTCGATAAATCGATCGAGTTTGCTGCCTCACGTGAGACTGATTCGATTTTGAATGCGTCTCGTGTTGTTTACGTTAGGGAAGAAGATGCGAAGAAGATTGTTGACATGTTGGTCAACCAGGTCAACGACAATCAAGAAATTACCATCCTGCCCATAATTGGTGTTGGAGGCCTTGGCAAGACTACCCTTGCTCGATTAGTCTACAACGATCAACGGGTCGTTGAACATTTCGACAAATGCATTTGGGTTTGTGTGTCCGACAATTTTGATCTCACGACTTTGCTGAAAGCCATGATTGAGTTTGCCGCTGAAAGTGCTGCTACGGATTTAGCAAACCTGGATACTTTACAGGACCGACTCCGAGAGTTGTTGAACCAGAAGAAGTACTTACGTGTGCTGGACGATGTTTGGAACGAAGATCAAGATAAGTGGTCGGAATCGAAAAATGTTCTCTCGTGTGGCTCAACTGGTAGTTCGATTATTGTCACCACACGCCTCAAAGAAGTTGCTGATTTAATGGGAACACTTCCAGCACATCACTTGTCACGGTTATCGGACGAGCAATGCTGGATGCTGCTCAAAGAACGTGCATTCGGACAAGAGAAAGAGGAATATCCAAACCTGGAAGCCATTGGAAGCCATTGGGAAGCAGATTGTGAACAAGTGTGGTGGTGTTCCAGTGGCAGCTAAGGCGCTTGGAAGTCTGTTGCGGTATAAGAGGGAAGAGACGGAATGGATTAATGTGAAAGAAAGCGAAATATGGGAATTACCCGAAACTCGGATACTGCCAGCCTTGAGATTGAGTTATCATCATCTTCCTTTGGCATTGAGACAATGTTTTGCTTATTGTGCCGTATTTCCGAGGGAATCTTGTATTGAGAAAGGAGAACTGATCTTTATGTGGATGGCGCACGGATATATTTCACCAAAGGGAGCATTGGAAATGGAGGATGTTGGCAATAATATATGTGATGAGCTAGTTTTGAGATCCCTTTTGCAATATGATAGTCGAGATGCAGATGAAAAGACTTTGATCATGCACGATCTTGTTCGTGATCTCGCCCAATCAATCATGGAGAACAAAATTCCCGGAGTACAAGTCCAAAGGGCGAACGTTAGTAGCGCATCTGATCATAGCAAAATCCGCGAGGTATATTTGGGTAAGAAGTTTGTGTTGGAATTGGCTAAAGTTTTCTATCGGAAATGGACATGTCTTTCGTTTTAAACAACTTTTTCCGTTTGAGAATACTGGATGCAAGTGGGACAAGGATAAACCAATTGTCCTCTGCGGTAGGCAATTTGAAACATCTGCGACAGTTGAACTTGTCTGGAACTCAAATCCGTACCCTACCCGACTCACTATGTCGTCTCTGGAATTTGCAAGTTTTGAATTTGGATGACTGCGAAAAGCTCGAGGCTTTACCGAAGAAGACGAGGGACTTGATCAATCTCCGTCATCTATTTTTGGAAGATTGTGAATCGTTAACGGAGATGCCATCTAAAATTGGAGAACTTACTAGCCTAAGAACATTGAGTCAGTTCATAGTGGGTCGTAACAGAGGCAATCGCCTTGAAGAATTGCAGTGCTTGAAGCTGGGCGGTAAGCTTACTATTCGGCATTTGGAGAGAGTTGAAAACCTTATGGATGCAAAGAAAGCAAATCTTGCCGAAAAGGAAAATCTTCTTCACTTGAATTTGCAATGGGAAAGTGACAACGATGCACCGACGTTGGAGGAAAAAGAGTCGGAAGAAAAAGTGTTTGAAGCACTAGAACCTCACCCGAATCTTGAAATTCTATGGGTATGGGGATTCAACGGTAGGCATTTTCCAGATTGGATGTCGAATTCGACCCTGGAGAAATTAGTCGATGTTCATATATCAAGCTGTAAGAACTTTTTGCATCTTCCGCAGCTGGGAGAGCTACCACATCTTAAATACTTGTGGGTAACGACTGCGGAGGAGGTGGAGTACATTATCGAGGATCCATTAATAAGTGTACGACAGTTCCCTTCTCTGAAAACACTGTATCTATGGTCCCTCCCGAATCTCAAAGGGTTTTTAAAAGAACAAGTGACGAATAAATCAGTCGAAGCATTCTCAAATCTGGAGGAGCTACGCATTGAAGATTGCTCTTCGTTAAAAGTAGTGCCGTCATCTCTCAAAAAGCTGAAGAAATTGAAATGCACTAGCTCAAATCTGGCTTTATTGTCGAACCTGGAAAATCTTACCAAGCTCGACATGTACTTTGAGGAGAGTACAAGTGTCGAGACGAAATACGCTGTTACAACCGAGACACTGCGAAGCCAGACCAATCTCAAGATACTGAATATTTCCAACGCGGACGAGCTCTCTCTGCCAGAACAAGGGCTAAGAGCACTGAAATCTCTTACAAATTTGTATATAGTTAATTGCAATTCACTGCCTCGAGTTTGGTTCGTTCATTTCACTGCTCTGGAGGAACTCGGAATATATGGATGCCCGGAAGTTGTAGAGCTGCCACAGGAGATTAAAAACCTGAATAACTGCCTTAAAACTGTCATCTTAAGCGATCTTCCGCATATGGTGTGTGTACCGAAAGCGTTGCAACACGTCTCGGATTCGCTTCAATATTTGTACCTGTTCGGGCTTCCTCAACTGCGTTCACTGCCGGGCTGGTTGGGCGATTTGAGATGCCTTGAAGATCTAAGTATTCATGACTGTTTGAAGATAGCATCGATTCCAGATAGTATACGAGGCATGACGAAGCTCCGGTATCTGTCAGTGCAGGAATTCCCGGAATTGGAAAGGAGATGTGAGAGAGAAAAGGGGGAGGATTGGCACAAGATTGCACACATTGCACACCTGCAAATTGGTGAATGGATTCCCTAATTCCCTAATTGTTAAATGCTGTAATACATATGTGTGCTGTTCTTTTTGTTTTTTACTTCTCTCTGGCATTTATGTGAGTTGATATGTAGGATATTCTGCAAGTTAACCCTAGACAGTTCCGAGTTGAAAAATTCAGCCAAGTAAATTATTTACAATGGCGTCTAATTAAACTTGATGTAACGATTTTCAAACTGTAATGTGTATATCATTCAAACAATCAATGAAGAGCAAATAAATACTCGTCACATCTATGAATAGTCATGAATTACGAAAAAAGAGAGAAGACCTTCATTTCACTGCACTTGACTCAATTCTCAAACGTATTTCTCTCTCTGCATCAGCAGAGTTGAAGATATTGAATAAATGCAGAGCAGTATATGATTGAAATAGTATGTTGCCTCTATAACTAACTGATACCCGTTTATGTTTTGAGCGTGTCTGAAGAATCAGATTCCAGCACCGGCACAATAGCAGATGATAATTCTATGTGAGAAACTCTCACCGCACCAATTAGCCGCTCCGGCAACTCATCGGTCGCATTAGCCTGAGCACCAACAACAATTTATACCATTTCATAAGCACTATAACAAAATTGTTCATCCATTATGCAAACAAACGTATGTTAGTTTGCTGGAGATTATAGATTAGGCAAATACATCAGTTGAGATTTTAAATACCTGTACAAGAAAAGCCATGTCCACCACAAGTGACGTAATAACCCCAACAACGAGTCCCAGGACTCCATTTGCCACAGTTGAGGAACCAATATCCACATCTACCTACAGAAAAAAAACAAGAAACACCAATAACCGAAATAATTAGACCTTTAACGAACTCTTAATTTGCTGCATAATTAAGTATATATCAAAAGAAGTACAAATAGTTCTTACTTCCAAGTATGTGGGACCACGAATATAGTTGCAATCAACTGCCTTCCCTAATAAACAAGGGGTGCTGCCCACACTCTGACGTACAATCCAAGAACCCTACATATTCATAAAAATATAAACCGTCGAATCTGAAACTTGACTACAAAGAACAATAAGGGCAATACATTTCTATTCAAAAGGGGAGAGATAAGAAGAAAGGTACCTTCGGTACTGATGGGATAAGTTTCAGTCTACTATTACGGAACTCATCATCCCCATCAACAAACCACTGCAAGAGAGACCCTGGTACTAATTCCTTAGTTACAAAATAAAACACCATGCTGTAGTGTGTTGATCCAGGTACCTAGAAGAGTCAAAATTGATTGATCTTCATAACGCGACCTGATAAATTAACTATCATGAAAAGCTGTAATGTAATCAACTCACTTGCAGATTAAAAACAATAGAGAAAAGTCCTTTATCTGCTGCAACCTAAAAAAGAAACAGAAAGTGTAATTTATGAGTATCCTTAGTTATATGAAACAATTAAAATAATATTGATATATTTGAAAACAGAAACGAGAAAAGTGAACCCTATGGAATTTACCTGAGCCGCACATCCACTTCTTCTGACAACATGATCCATTCTTTTTGTATCTTTGAACCAGTCTACAGCGACAAGATCCATAAGGTGTTTACCTGCAGGAACCTTCAAAAACAGGAAGCACAAAGTCCATAAGATTATTGAGCAAATTTAGGCTGCTTGAAATGCAATCAGAATATATATCTGAAATAAGCCAACTATTAGTTACCTTGGATTTGTCATAACAGAAACGTTTGCTTCGAACTCTGAAGTTGTTTCCATCAGATAATGTCCAACAGTCGCGGCCCTTATCACGAGTGTCACGGCGAAGGTTACCGGAGAAAATGGACAAATCTATTGGGTCTTTAGATTCTTCTTCATAGGCTGAAATTTATAAATAACATAGCAAATAGATTGCAATTTACATCAGTTAAAAGATTTCAAATCAGCTTTTTTTTAATGAATCATGAAATTGAATATCTACCAGTTTTTTTGTCTTCAATCCCGATGGCTGATGTCAAAGCCTGTAAAAGTCCATATTCAAATTATGAAAGAGAAGGAGAAAGCCAAACATAAGTATAAACCTTAAAAATGTTATAGAGTCATAAAGATAGCCGAACCTCTTGATCTGTGCACTGAAGATCTTCGTCTTCATCAGACTCTTCATCCATCAAAATCGCGTTTTTATTTGATGCGTGTATTTGATCAAGTGAAGAGCTGCGCTGATGAACAGAAGATGACTGGAGTTTTTTACTCCTCTTCGAAGAAGTGGCTACTGATGTCATATTGACCATAACAGGAATTCGGGGAGCTGCCGCCCTTTCATCAGTTTGGGAGAAATATTCTCGTAACCCTGTGACAATAGAAAACCTGAAACAATTCATCAAATTCGACAATAACATCAAATCCACACTGGCTATAACAACCTCTTATCTTTTTTTACTTATTCGATAAGGAAAACATTATCCATATTACCAGAAGGGAAGTTATAGTTCTAAGCACCTATTTGGTCAAAGCAATTGTCAACAGAGTTGTTTTTCCACCTAGAATATCATCTACTCAGAGCAAGAAATATAACCATTCTGATTTAGTTTTTTATCTAGAAGGGATAACCTACATGTATCACATAATTATGGAAAATTCAACGCGACCACTAACCCGACCAAGCCACTATGTCCCCACCCCAGCACATCTTCGCAATTTTCATGCCAAGACAAAACCAACAACCTAAAGTCAAAATATATTAAAACTCCTAGATAGTAAGCAGTTTCAAATTCGACATTCCTTTGATGATTATACGTAAAATATTATTCTCGAATAAAAGTTAAGACTTAATTTTCAAACAATACAACCGCCAAGATGTTTGTTGGCTATACAATTGGACAACATAAAACAGGCAAAAGCAATATAATACACCCTATATAAGAATTGCCTAGGCAAGTGACAGGATGGTGTCAGAAAAGCCTATTTCCACACTGAACAAGCTTTATCTTGGCTTTTCTAGTACTGATGCCTATAGTAAATAGGACATGGTTTATCCAAAAGATAGTTATATCAACGATTCATTCACTATATTGAGGTATTGAAAAAGGGATCTGACAGCTGCCCAAACCAAATTTTATTCTTAGCTACTACAACCAGGGCCAGCTGGCGAGACTATGGAAGTGAAATAACCATTGGAAATGCAGAAAGGAGACCATGTCATATTAAAATAATTAAAAAAAATAAAACAATCGAAGGAGAACCTACTTCACCGGTGAAGCAATAAACAAATCTATAATATCTTACCAGCAACACTGTTTAACATCTGAAGAAGACAATGTTGCTGAAATGATGAAATATAACCCACTCCCCAGCCTTTGAGATCAATCTGCATAAGATGCTGGACCTGTGTCCTGGGCTTCCCATTACGAGGTTTCATAGGTGATATATTGAACCCTCCACCTGTAAATTTGTATCAGGTGAGCCTTTCAGCACACTAGAATATGTACTATATAAAAACATTACAAAATAAACTATTTCATCTGGACAATAGGACTTGAAGAATTATTCCACTAAACTGTTGTATTATATGGCATTAGAGCTCAGTGGAACTTACTTTCAATATGAGCTCGAACAAATCCAGGTTGAGGACCACAATTGTCATGCTCCCTAGACTGAAATAGCACAACTGCACAGCAACGAAGGTGCAAAATAAAGGATAATTTCACAAACAAAACTAAAATGAGCACATAAACAAGAGAAAGCCCTCCGACATTTACCATAACTTCCATCATCATTTCGACGCCAATACCGTACATAGCAGAGGTCACGAGGCCATACAACCCTGCAAGTATTTACAAGAAAATGAATGAGTCTTGATGGCACAGAAGGTCAATATATACCATCCCCCCAGTTATATATACATAATAGACAAACATTTTGGTAATTGACATAGAAGTGACCTCGTGTTTAATAGGATTCAGACAATTTGAACTATATAAACCATACATTTCCGCCAAGAAACAGACTGGGAAAAGGATTCGGCATATAATTTGTCACTAGAAAAATTAGCTCGGTAGTTTATACATGAGAAACTAAAGAAATCAAGCCTATCAGCAACACTATCAAGAATCAAATAAAAGCTAAAGGCTCTCCAGTGTGAATTCTATAGCTTCACTTAGATCAAACAAATATTCTGTCCTTAACACATAATGTTACAAGTCAGCAAGGCGAACATGAAAACAGAGAAAATAAACAACATTAACAAGAACTGATCACAGAATATCACATTCAAGTACATCGTCGGAAAAATTACAGTCTGCAATTACGCCCATTGGTCTAGAAATGACTGCAATGTCAAACTAGGTATTGCAGAGGAACAGCATTCAGAAATGAAAAAAATATTAGTAAAAATCAATAAAGAAAATTATGATAAGAACACATTACGTTGGAAACCAATCTAACTGAAGCCTGTGGTATAGTATAGCAGTATGTCCATCAACTTCTTCAACTAAGCTACCATACTGGAAACTGCAATCCCACCTGCATAAGGAATAGACTTCAATTAAATGCGAACAAAGAAGAATGTTGTTCTAATCTAGAATGCAAACTTGGATTGTGCCATAACGTATTTTATTTTTTTTTACACAAATTATATGATTTGGTTCTCTGCATGCTGGGGTGCATAAAATGGTTCTGTTCCAAATATCTTGAAGAACGTATCAGTGGTATGAAAAAACTAACAGTAATCTATCATCTGTCAGTGGGGAACAACACTTTCAACATGTAACAAGAAGCCCAATAAATGAGAACTTACAAAGCAAATGTTGAGTCAACAATAAAAAAATAAAAAATAAATAAAAAACCTACTCGCAACGTGTGGCATCCATGCTCATTACTAGTTCAAATATCTCTTCACAGGTAGCCTCCACAACACCAACAGCTTTCATTGCTCTACTACAGCTCTTTGGCTACAAAAATATAATTATATGACGAATACACCTTAAAAATCCAATGTTTTTAGCAAAGACATTTCAGTATTACAGCAAATATATAGGTTCTTACAAGGAAATCCACTTCAAGAAGCTCCTCAAAAATCCGAAGACCTAAGAGTCCACATAGAGAAAATAAGACATCAAATAAATGCCATACTAAAGAACTCGCATCACAAATATTATTCAAGTTAAATGCAATAATACTACACCATTATGGACTGTATCTATCATTACTAACATAAGTTAGGAACATCAACGCACCATTTTGGCACTGGAGAAGACGCCAATATTTTCTAGAAAATGCCTGGTTGTCAGCATTATTATTAGCCAATTCTGAATCCAATTCTTTCGTCCAGTCGAAAACAGACTCAGGGGGGCCTGCCATACATAAATTAGTAACAGAACTTCAGTGAGATTACAACAAATCCACGGGAACCATGATAATGAGTTAACATATTTCAAGACCTTTTCCTATGGTTGTTCGGCGTAATAAATTTGGATGAGAATCATCTTCATCTTCTGCAGCACTAAACCTGCAGCAAGCATGCACAGAAATTGTTCAGGTTCGTAGTAAGATGATTATATTTCTGTGAACATGAGAAGTGTTGAAAAAGGGTGCCAGGAAATGTACCATGCATGAGAAAATTATAAGTATTTAAGAATATAATTGATCACGACAGGAGAAACTATGAGAAAGCAATATTGCAACTTTCATTAAGCAACATGAAAGAAGCATTTAACTGAGGGTTCATGGATACAAAAATGTATTATTCATTCTCAGTTAATTCACAAAACATTAAATATTAATGTCAAAATGCTTCTTTCAAAGCCAATATTGAGAAGGACAGAGTGTATGATAGACGAGCAAGAGAAATGAAAAGTCAGAACTATCCTCACAGGCTAGAAGATCCAGAAATCAGCAGAGCAGATTACACAAGAACGTCAAGAAAAGAGGAGGACATTTCATCTTCCCTTAGTCCTATTACCTATACAATTGCTAAAATCCTGCATTTTTTATCCAAATACAGACAGATAGCAAAGCAATATCCCCAGTGCTACCTAATACTATTCCCTTAATCTCATCAAAGAAGGTTTCTGACTCTTCTTCAGACCACGAAAATTACATAGACCACAACCGTTATTGGTCTTTCAAGCATCATATTTCCTTTCAAAAACAATGATGCAAAAGAAAACCACCCCTCTTTCTCTATACTGTTCTTATATCTTTTTCCTTAAAGCTTTAGCAAAAAGAAAAAGAAATATTATGATAATATCCAGAGCAGCAAATTACTGATTACAAATCAGCAGAATAAAAGTCAACTTATGCACAAGCAAGCTAACGGAGACCCCATTTTAACCAAGGGTTATTTCTGCAAAATCTTTAGCATACTCACTAATGCTAAATCAAATCATACTTACTGACTTTCGTGGTCCGATGATGAAGCAGTCCTCCCATTATCCATACCAGATTTATACTCAAAAGATTGGTATTTGTTACCATTAGAAGCTTGAGACTCTTGATGCTGTATGTCAACAATTTCTCAGTTACTTGCGTTACTAAACACTCATTCAACCAAAAGCTGACTTTATGGAAATCATAAAAAAGGAATATTCACTTCCAAGAATGATAAAAGAGTTTATTAGGAGGTGACAACAAGATAAGAAAACCTGGTCAATAACAGATTCAATTTTTTCTTTCCAAATGAGTGCCTCTTGAATGTTGAAAGCTGCCATCTGGAACAATATGTAAAACCTTTTTAAGGTGTCATTGTATTTTTTTACAAAATAAATGACTGGAAAATTATTAAGTGCATAAGGCATACCATGCAATAAAAGTTTGAGTTTACAAAGGTCATAAGGAAAAAAATAAGGGCAGATGAGAAATGTGGGTCCCCACCTTAATCACTTCTAAGGCAAATGAAAATGCATACAGAAAGTATACTTATTGAGTGACTATCATAAACGGGATCTCTTATGCACGCATTATCAAGCAAAGGCTCCTCTTAATCACTTCTAATAAGCATGAATACGTGAATGGAGAATAATGTTATGAACCAAATCTCTTATTCACGTGCAAGTGAACGAATTAAGTTAACCACAAAAACATATGAAATACCACTAAATGCAAATGTAACGCACCGTAATTCGATGGTAGTTCTCTCTCTTGTTGTAAATCGAAAGAACGTAGACCATCTGCCAAAAAATTGGAGCTCATTAAAGTAACAGGTACAAGGAGAAAACATTTCTTCAAATGTTTTTGTCATTAGAAACAGCAAGACTATTACAGAAATATATCATCAACTTTGCTCCAGTTCTTCAAAATAATGTTCAACCCAATACATAAACTTGGTACATTCATACCAAAAAGAAAACCAAGATCCTAAATGTCCCAAAGAAGCTGTAACAATTAGTTCAGGGTAAGGGAAAAAACACTGATTTAACCAATTTGAACGATGATGCCAACAGAAACAACATTCAAACTTGTAGGCCTAACAGCCAGGGAAACATGTACACGTAACTTTGAGTAATACCCCAACTCCAACTGGACATGATGTGATCTGTTGAGTTAAGTGCTTTAGTTCAAAATATATCACTACATCCTCAACTTTTTTGTGCCGAATTACAATGAACCACCTTTTCATATCGGTTTCCACACAAAATGATATAACATGACTAAAGCCTTACATCTATAACTGATTATGTAAAACTATTGAAGTAATGCTGCTTTGATTAAGGCATTAAAAGATCAACTATTTTTATTGAGTTATCTCCTCGCATATTAGTAATTAGCAAGGATCAAAATAAGATTGATGATAAACAATACTTCATATTTCAGTTGAATTGATCAACCATATCAATGAGATACAATTGAACAACTGGAATATAAACTAGTCAATCGTAGCTTACATGTCCATTATGAGTCTTCAATCCTCGGTCCTCCACCCTACAATTTCCGTCTATAAGAAGAGTCTTGGTCGGCACCTTACACATTAAAATGGAGGAAGAAAAAAATTATTTGTCAACACACTACTTCCCTTTTTAGGCAATAAATATTGCACTAAACTGCCGAATGTCGAATGATCATCTTTAAAGTGAAAAAAGAAAACAAAAAAAGTAAAGATATAACTTAGAACTGTATCAACCAGATCATATAATTTCCTTTTGCATTTGAACGACATTAAGGAAACCATTTCTACTCCATAAATTAACATAAGTGTCAGTAGAGAAAGCATAAATTCATGATAAAACTCATGATCTTGAACTGCCTAAAACAAATAGTCAATATACAGAGAGGAAAAAGATGAAGTATAAACAAAAATATTAGAGGCATTACCACATTATCTTGGGGCTTCTTCTTGTAATACGCCAACAATCTAGACTCGAGTACAAAATATCGCATGTGAATAAATGATCTTCCTATCTTCCTGCGTCCATATCTGACCATCCATCCTTCGTACACCACCTTTGAATTCGACATCTCCGCCCAAATCTATACGATTTCCCTCAAAATCCCCAGTCACTGTATGCTTTCTTCTCAATAGCCAAATAATAGTATTTTATACTCCTTAAACATCAGCAAGAAAGGTACAACACTGAAAATTTCCGGAAGTTCAGAACAACTCTTCACTTCCGGAAATTTACAAATCCTATGCCGCTTCAATTGAATCAGTCACCGCCGAAGAAAATTTAAGAAGCTCCGATCCTTAGAAAAAAGATTTGAAAACCACGAAGCGCTGACTAACAAAATCGATCTCTTAATTTCAAAACCACCTCACAGTGGGCTTTTAAAAAAAAAAAATCAAATCCACCCAAAATTGACCACAATTCCTTCTTCGGAATCTCACAAACCGATCGGAGATCAACCCAAACACCGGCGATCTGCTTCTGCAAAACCCCCAAACGACAAAAATCCGACAAAAATAAGTTTAAGGGCGTAGAAAGCACAACGGAGAGAGAATTTCCACGTGCAATTAAAAGGCTGTGCAGGCCGGCCTATGCATACACACAAGCACGTCGTGTACGAGAGAACTAGTAAGCATACGCCATTAAAAAAAAAGGTATTTAATATGTAGAGAGAGAAAGTGAGAGAGAGAGATTAAAGTTACATTTAGTGTGAGAATCTTCAGAAATTCACCACTTCACCAAATTAATACGCGCATATCCCTAAATAAATGTCGCCGTGAACGAACGATTACGACTACCTCTGTGTGTGTGTATACTGTAAGCATAGGTAGAGAGAGAAAGCAGAGGAGAGAGAGAGAGAGAGAGAGGTGAGTGATCTGAATATTCAATTTTGCGGCCACCGAATTCTATTGCACGCAGTAGAAAAACGCCGGCAAGTTGAAGGAGAGTTTGAAAAAACAAAATTAAATTTTGAAAATAAATTATTTATATATAATATTTTATTTTGGGGTTTTTTTTTTTTACTTAGAGCAACTCCAATGGAGGAACTAAATGGGGTATCAAACTAAAAAACTACCACTTTGATGCTCCAAAATTAAAAAATCCTCCTCCAATGGAGGCATTAAAGGGAGAACTATTTTGATATTCAACCACCTCGAGGTGCAAAAATACTCCCTGGAAAATGAGGTATCAAAAATGTAACCACTCTATTAACCTATCACAATTTGCCACGTGACATTTAATAATATAATTATTCATATATTTAAAATTTGATAATCTATTTGATACTTGTGGTTGGAGTGAATTTTTTTTCTAGAAGTATCAAAGTATTATATCAAGTATCAAATGAATGTTTAATGCTCCATTTTGATGTCTCTCCATTGGAGTTGCTCTTAGGTGGAAGCTGTGGGATTACCAAAATTAAATGATTTTAAAATTGGAAATTGGAAAGTGGGACTTGGGTTTGGACTTACTTGTGTGAGGGCTATTTTGTCTTATACGGAGGAAGAAAAATAATATGAACCGTTGGGTAAATTTTTTTTTTTATTTTTTATTTTATAGAAAATTGGATTTTATAAAAAGTTTAAATAATAAAAAATGTAATAATTTATTTGTTTTGAGTTGAATTAATATTGCAAGAAATATGAGCTACTACTTTCTAAAAGCGTGACGTTGGCTTTTGAAAAGTGGACTAAGACTACATGCTTTGGCATTATTGTGTGGTGTAATAATGAACATTAAATAAAAAAATATTCACGGTGAAAATAAATAATATGTATTAAATGTTTTTTTTCGACATGTAGATGTAGGTGTTGAAAATGAGTTTTTTGTTTGTATAAGTTGTATTGTGTGAGTAAAGGGTATTTATGTACTTCTTGGTGTTAAACTAAGAAAAGATTAAGGAAAAAAAATACTGAAATATGATGTTTAACTAATAAGTATTGAAGTGAGAAAGAACCCGTATTCGAAATAGCCGTCCCCTGTTTTTATAGTCTAAATCGAGTACAGATTCGGGCTATTCATTTATAATGGGCCAACAATCCATAGGGTCCAATAGAAAAAAAAAATCCAGTATTTGTATATACTTAGGAAACGGGTTGGGTTTAAATTTAAGTCCATACCATCGCAGGTGAACAATTCAGAACAATATTCCGGAATGTTGTTCATGTTCTCCATCTTTGGTGTCGTCACATTGCTCTCGGAAAAAACACGATGAGTTTTAAATTCATTATCCAAACATTTTAAGATTTAATTCTAAAATAGAACGTACATAACAACTTATCATATCTCAAAATAATTTATCAGACGTAGAAGCTTATCAGATATTTAGAATAAGCTTATGTGGTCTAAATATAATTTGTTATGTCCCCATTTTGGATTTTTTATCGATTATTTTGATTTTGGTGTACATTTGGTAGCAATCGAATATGCTAAAATGCCCTTTAATAAACTATATTCAAATGAAATAATAAGGAAAATTGGTTATTTTCTCTTTAATGATGGCTAGCTTTGAGATTGTTCATTTATTTGTCAATAATCTCTTGAATGATGGTTAACGAAAATATAATTTTCATCTCTCAATTATGCATTGATTTCACAATTGGTCATTTATTGTTCACAAAAAATATATTTTGCCCCTCGTGTTTGAATAATTCAATTTTTTGGTCATTTCAGTCAATTTAACGTTAGTTAAATCAGTAACGGGCACACACATGATTTCGTTAGTACTGACGGAAATGAGTTAAATTTTGGAAACGTCAGTGACCAAATGTGTTTTTTGTGAACATGAGGGACCAAATGTAAAATTGATGCAAACTTGAGGGACGAAAATTGTAATTTTCCCATTCTTTAATATATATTTTGTAAGATGTTTAATAATTAACAAATAAAACTTTCTTTAAATAAAATAAAATAAAGGAGATGACTCATTTCTAAAATAAAATCAGATGTTTAAATTATTTATTTATTATTGATAAATAATATATTTATTATTTTCTTGTAACCGCCATACTAAAAAAGTCGGCTGCGTTCAGTATATATAAACACAATACAAGGAAAGAAAAGCCATAACACCGCCATTGTATTTTCCCTCCGATTTTTGAATCTAACCCTGGTTTATTCAATTGCCATCATCGCAATCGCCAATCGCCATCGCCATCGCCGTTTATCTTCTCCGTTCTGACTCGATCTATTCTGACTCGATCTAACTCAGTTTTCTTCTCAATATGCCTCGGAGAAACTCCTGCGAAAACGTATTTTCTCGTTTCTCTCTTCATATCTGTCGGTTCATACTTGTCTGGATTGTGATTTTTTTTTTGTATGTAATTTTAGTTTCTTTGAAGTTCTTGTTGTTTCTTTGATCAATGGGTTCTCCGAATTTGATTTATCTTCATCGAATTTTTGATGTAAATATTTTAATTATGTGATCTATTTATGAAATTTCTCTGTTTTTCGTGATTATGTTTTTTTTTTCTTTTTTTTTTCTTTTTTAATTTCGCAATACTACAATATGTCCGTTCAAATTGGTTGAATTTGTGAAATATATAAAATAATATATGTAGCGATTTGTATATTTTGGTGTTTGTTCTGTTATACACAGGTCTGTGATTATGAATTGGGGCTCACACAATTGCATAAATTAGGGTTTGAAGAACTTAACCGAGTGTCGTTTTTTTTACCTTCAATTGCAGTTGGACAGATTCATACCGAATAGATCCGCCATGGATTTCGATTTTGCTCATTACATGCTCACCGGTGGCAAGGTCGAAAAAGAAACCCTAGGAACATACTCTCCTTCCAAACATCTTTACAGAAAGCATCTTGCAGAAATATTAAACATGAACAGAACAAGAATCCTCGCTTTCAAGAACAAGCCACCACCCGCGGCAAACACTACCCACGATCCGTTTTCACCTCCCCCACAAACACAACCCGCGAAGCGGAGAAGACACATTTCTCAGGCGAGTCATACATTAAGTTTCGTATTTTCACATCCATAGTGTCTTGTTCTCGATATTTTCTAAACTTGTATTTATTGTTTTGTTGTTCGATTTAACAGTCTCCAGATAGGACTTTGGATGCTCCTGAAGTTGTAGATGACTTCTATCTGAATCTATTGGATTGGAGTAGCAGTAATGTTATTGCTGTTGCTTTAGGAAACTCTGTTTATTTGTGGAATGCCTTTGATGGTTCTACTTGCGAACTTCTTTCGGTCGATGATGATATTGGACCTGTTACGAGTGTTAAATGGGCAGCAGATGGGAAATACCTTGCTGTTGGTCTAAACAATTCCCATGTCCAGCTGTGGGACACTTCATCTATTCGACTGGTACAATTCTTTCCATCTCAGTTTCGATAATACTTATTTCGCTTAGCTTTGAAGCTATTGGTTTCAAATTGGTAATAACTGATCTCGTTTCGATAGATATTTTTTACAATGAATTTTGGATTCAAGACTCTTGGCTTTCGCTTCCGACTAAATTTTTAAGTTAGTGTCGTCGTTATTGTGGATTAACTGTGTTGCTTCACTTGGATTATTTGCTGTTGTTTCCGTACCTCATTTTCCACCCGACTTTCTTGAATTGCACATAAAAAAAATCTGTGTTCTATTTTTACAGTTGAGGACTCTTCAAGGAGGGCACAGATTAAGGGTGAGTTCACTCGATTGGAACAATCACATTCTGACAAGTGGAGGAATGGACAGCACAATCTTCAACAACGACGTGAGAGTACGGGCCCACATAGTCAGCACATACAGAGGACACACTCAAGAGGTTTGTGGCTTGCAATGGTGTTCCTCAGGCCAGCAATTAGCAAGTGGAGGAAACGACAACTTGCTACATATATGGTCTCTTTCAATGGCTTCTTCTTCGTCTTCTTCGAACTCTTCGAATCAATGGCTTCACCGATTGGATAGACACACTTCAGCAGTTAAAGCTCTTTCATGGTGTCCGTTCCAGAGAAATCTTCTTGCATCGGGTGGAGGAATCGGAGATCAGTGCATAAAATTATGGAACACTAATACAGGGGCGTGTTTGAATTCGGTTAATACTGGCTCGCAGGTTTGTTCATTGTTGTGGAACACAAATGAAAGGGAGCTTTTGAGTGGTCATGGATTTAATGACAATCAGCTCACTCTTTGGAAGTACCCTTCTATGGTTAGAATTGCTGAGCTGCATGGTCACACTTCTAGAGTTCTGAGCATGGCTAAGGTATAATTGGAGTAAAAAATTAATTTGATTTTTATTTTTATTTTCGTGTTTGATTATTACATTGTGGATTTTTTTTATATATATATAAATGGGTTTTTTTTTTGTATTTTTGCAGAGCCCGGATGGGTGTAACGTTGCGTCTGTAGCGGGTGACGAAACACTGCGATTATGGAGTGTTTTTGGGACGACTCAGATTGGGAAAGCTGTGATTGAGAAGAAACAAGAGCCTTTCTCTAATGTACCTCGTGTTAGATGAAACGTTTTGCGATTTGGTAGATCGATTCGGACATACTTGTAAATAGTATAGGGAAGGTAAATTTTAATTCCATTTATTAATTAGAAAGGGAATTTTTTTATTTTTTGAGGAAATGTTTGAATTTGTGGTGATATATAATATATGTAATATATGTATGAGGTGCAGTTGCCATAAGAACTATCAGAATGGAGATATGAGTGGCTTTTTATTTTATTTTATTTTGTAATTTAAGAGATCAATTTTTGTGTGCTTGTGAAAATTCTAAGTTTCTGCAATCAATAAATGGTGAAAGATCGACAAGATCCGAATATCGAATAAATACAATTTTTATTTTTATTCAAGTCATAATTAATGTTCAAAGAAGTAAACGAAGATGTTCGAAACACTCTTGCCTACGCTAATAATATCACAGAGACAAACTTGTCTTGGCATTAACATACTTTTGAACAAGAGGTTCATATATAGTATCAAGAACACTAGCAGATTTACAGTAACACGGTACAATAACTGCGAATCATAACTTACACTAACAATGGTCACTCGGAAATTTAAGCAAACACTTAATTTCATCTCTCTACATAAGATCAGTTTCGATAGCATCAAGTATGTTAAGGGACAATGGATTCTATGAGCTCTTGGAGTGGAGCAAGTTCCTTCTTGTCGATCAGCGTAAATTCCTGCACCGTAGATTTAGTTTTTTCAGTTACCGAACAATATCCCTGTCTATTTTCAAGATTTAATAACTCGATGCAGGAGAAACCGAGTGCCGACGTAGAAACGAGCAGTCAGAATTTAAATGGGTTATTTTGAAAAGAATGTGACATTTTAAATTGGAAGAATCGCAAAACTTACACATGTGAACAGTATAAAGTGCTTGAAGCAGGTATTTAGATGGGCTTCTTCCTTAAGGCTCACAATCTTCTGAAAATGGGAGTGGTATATATGGGCATATACACGGAATAGACGTTTAAATATAGTCTTCACAACATCCCTGAAATTAGCAGGAAATGGTGCACCTACAAAAATTCTTGTCAGTATTGTGTCGCATTACGAGATAAAATGACAAGCGGCAGGTAGGCTTACACAAGTAAAAGACATTGTTATATTGAACTAGACGTCATCATTACCAAGCTTTTGAGGAAATAAGGACTCGTCATCTAACTGGGTTTCGATCCAGTCCATCAAATATTCGACATACTTAGGAGCCGAAACTTCGATAGGTTTCTTAATTTGTACGCCATCTGCCCATCTGTACTCATACCTGCAACATATTGTTCTTCAGGTCAAGAAAATTTCAATGTTTAATTTCTTGGTTTGTGGTTGTATAAGGTTAAAAAGAACGAAACTTTAATAATACAATAAAGAAAATTATAATAACTGACATACTTAGGCCCGGCAGACATTGTAGGGCAGATCTCGGCCGTACAGAACTCTGTGAGGGTGCCATAGAGAAGATTCACCTGGTTGAAGAAATCTACAGCTGGAAATTAAAATCAAACAGTTGTTTCAACATTGGTCTACAGAATAAAGCTAATAGTATGAGACGAGGAAATAAAGGGAAGAAAAAAAATACATTATATGAATCCCTAATTCTTTTATCCATGTCATTGAGGAATATACGAAAAGATATAATGAAGAGATCCTTGTAGCATCATGTCCTATATAAAATAAAAACCTTCTTTTGATGTGAAATTCATAAGCAGTAGCCAGTAGGCTCAAACAAATAGACAAGGGGAACTATATAACTTTACTTCGTCTGCTTGCTAATTTTCTTCACAAAATCAGTGAATCGAGTGTTTAGACTATTAAGTCCACATTTAATAAATCCTGATGCAAAGAGCACAGAATCGGAAAATGATAACATGCTGTCATGGGAGACCAAACAGATGTTCAGAGAGGATCATATGCCACAAGAACATATTTATTTATTTATCTATATATGAAAAAATAAATGTTTATGTATGTATATACAGAGAGAGAAAGAGAGAGAGGGAGAGTACTGTTGACAGCAAGCCATTCATTGATATCTTCCCCTGGAGGCAACCTTACAGCTTCTCTCAAGTTCCCACTACCTAAAGTAGCATCGATATGCTTTCTAAGCTGTGCACCCTGAAGCATATAATCATATAAGATTCTATGATGCAGAACCGGTCCACACTAAAATCAAGTAAAACATGTACTGCACGCAGAATTGAAGATATAGATCATTCCTATACACCACAGACGTAATTTTAATGAATGACCATGGCCGAAGAATTAATTAACCGAAATTTTGTAGTAGGGTTTTCGCTCTTGGTTTCCACAGCATGAAGTAAAAAGTTTGGAAAACTTCTGAATCAAAACTTGAAGCATACGAGGAGAAATCAAAAACTGCTGATATAGTAATCCTTTATATTACTAAACATGCCATTACGATTCATCAAATGGAAGTTCGCTAACAACAAATCATGAGAGAGGGATCCAAAATACGTTTAGCTAAGCAAAGAAATCCACCTTACTGCCCGACGGAGCACTTTTTTTAGGGCGAAACGTTCTTTGATTCCTGTTGGAAAAAAAACAGCCAAATCAAACATTATAAAAAATTTGATGAAATCCAACCAAAAGAAAAAT